GTCCTGAAGTTCAACGACGTGTGCCGTTGCACCGAGCATGGCGCCCAGCAAGACGTTACCACTGGTCTCGTAATCGGGGTGGTCACTCGTGACTGAGCGCGTAAGTATCTGATGGCAATCAAGACCGGCGGCGGCGCAGGCAGCGGCAGTCTGCCGGGCATGATTCGACTGCAGCGCACCAAAGGTGATGACGGTGTCGCAGTTTTTCGCTAAGGCATCAGCAATCAGAAACTCAAGTTTGCGCGTCTTATTGCCGCCCATCGCCAGGCCAGTGCAATCGTCACGCTTAACCCAGATGTTTGGGCCCTGCAGTTCCGCAGACAGTTTCCGCAGGTGCTGCAGTGGTGTAGGCCAGTGCCCTAATATAAATCGCGGTAGATCAGCCCAGGGTGTTTTCTCAGACATGGGTGTTGCTGCCTTGTGAGTAATGTTGTTGGCCGCCATGAAAGCCGAGACAACGTGCGGCATTTGCACAAGCTGTATGAATAGCTTCAGCCAGTTGCCGATCGCCGTCGAAGGCGCCGTATCTCACCAGATCATTAGCAATACTTGCCAGGAAAGCATCTCCACAGCCAGTTGGGTCGACATTCGCGGGTGCTGCTGGAACCGTAAAACTTAACGGCTCAGCGCCGGGTACAAAGACCTGAATTGCGTTTGCACCGTTGGTTTGCAGAATGAGTTTTTCCGCCAGCGACGCGGCGCGCTGCAGGTGTTTGATTTCGTAAGCGTTGCCGACAATCCAATCCGCGTGCCTGACCAGCGCCCGGGCCTCTGTTGCCTTAAGCTGGTCAGCATATTGGCCCGGACAGCAGATTTTCAAAGGGCGATTCGGCAGTTGCGTCGCAAACCCCAGCGACGCGATCATCAGTTCAGGCGGGTAGGGGGCTTGTACAAAAACGGGACACTCTGCCAGCGGCAGATTTTCCAGATGCGCGCACCAGCGCTCGATGCTGGGCACCTCACCGGGGAAAAAAGCGGTGAACTGGTGGCCGTTGCGGTCGGTGATAATCATCGCCCGTGCACAATACGCGGCTTCCACCCGCAATAGCCCCGCACTGCTGATGTTCAGGTTCTCAAGGTGATGCACATACTTCTGATCGTCGGCTGTGCCAGTAACGCTGATCAGCAGGGGGCTGGTGCTGCCGTTGTGCGCCAGGTTATAAACAATATTGCCACCACAACCGCCAAACGCTTCCGTGAGCGTGTCAATTTTACAATTCAGCAAGGCGGGCGTGTGCGGGTCGGGTGCTTCATCAGAACCTGTGAGAGACGCTGGGGTGGTTGCGATCTGATCGTATGCAAGTGCGCCAATAACGGCGATATCTGGGTGGATTGCTACCAACGATGCCTCTGTTTCGGATTTACAGCTTCTAAACTGGCCCAGAAGGCGAGTTTAACTCTCAGCAGCCAGTGTAAGTGAGCGCCGCTCTCCAGGCGATGAAAAAAGCGTGCGAGGCGTGGGTGTTTGTTAAGCGTGCGCTTCATTTGAGGTGACAGACTGGCAAAGCAGGCCAGTGCAAGCAGAATAAAGAGAAAACCGGGCACGATGGGGATAACCAGCCCAACCAGGCCGAGAACCAGACTTGCACAACCGAGTAGAAACAGCACAACAACTCTCACAGGCTCACTCCAAAAGTAACTATTGACGTAGGTTCTACCTTCAAGCAATTTCAATGCCAGTCTTTAATTAAGTCATAACGCATTGTTATTTAAGGATATATAAAGCTCGTATCATTCGAGAATCCTGCTGGGGTGGTCAACTTGGCCATAACATGGTGGCATCGGTAAATTCTTTACAACCTGTTACGTTGTTATCACGGGGTGCGCGCAGCGTCTGAGTTAAGGTGTGAGCCGTGACTTTTGGAGTAATTTATCGTGCAGAATTTAGTAGGAAGACAGTTCACAATCAACGAATGCGACTATGCTGTGGTTGATGTAAGAAACATACGCGGTGATGCAATGGTCTATGCAGAGCCGCTGAATACCAAGGCAGGTCCCGGCCGGGCTGCGTTCCGTTATGTTGATATTGAGACGACCCTGAATGCCCAGCAAGGGGCGCTGTCGGATGCCACACCTGGCTCTGCTTAACAGCAGTATTACCGGTACCAACCCCATCTAAGTTACTGTTTTCAAGCGCTATGTTGTGATGTATGTCGACTCAAGCAAAACCTGAAATCGCTACCATCAGTTGCAGCGGGATGACACTCGATGATTCCTGCACATTGTCATTAAAGGTGGTCGAAAACATGCCAAATGGTGGCCAACAAGAAGTGGTCATGTTGTTCAACAACGAAGGTAGTGTCATGGCTGAAATGTATTTCAGCACCTTTGAGCGTTTGTTGAATGGAGACAACACATTAGAAGGGCACGCAGCCAGTGTGGTCAAAGCGGCTTACTGCGTGGTGGGTAACGGCTTGGCGGTGCGCGGCGCGGTGTTTTTCCTGTTTTCCGTCAATGAAGAAGGCTATATAGACCCTTCGTTTAACCTGCCGCTGCGTTATCTGGTGCAACAGGCAGGCGTTGCAGAAGACCTTGGGCAGGGCGGCGTGCGTAAGGCGTCCCGCGGGCAGTGTCCGGTACCCTGGCATGCGGTCAATTTATGGGAACCTGAAACCGAAAAGGGTTTGTCACAGGTGCAAAGCCGGATCTACCGAAACAAGCTGAAGCTGAAAAATTCGACTGGCTGCCGAGATGAAGACTTCTTCCCCCCCCAGGCCCTCACCATAGAGCTGAGTGCTTCGGATTCTCGGCAAGACTTAGACTATCAATTACAGGGAAACGGCTTTGCCAACCTCTCCAGTTCGGATGAGCGTCAGGCCCAGGATAAAACTCAATTGTTTGCGGCGAAGCTGACAGAAGTTTTTGGCGATGCTGGCAAACTGTCATTGCAGGATCTGATACGCTTGCATACTGAGCAGCTTGAACAGGCGAAACTGCAATACCGCGATCAGTTGGAGGCTCAGCAGATGAGCTACCTGGATCAACTGCGTTGTGCACGCGAAGAGATACACGAGCTGAAAGTAACACTTCGCCAGGAGCAGGGGCGTAGTCGCCGGCTCCAGCAGATGTTACGAGGTGACATCTAACCGTCAGCACCAATCGGGGTTCAGCCCAACGTGATTGAGATCGAAATTTTTTCGGATGTGATCTGCCCCTGGTGTTTTATCGGCAAGGCGCGTCTGGATGCCGTATTGCAAACCTCTGTTGGCGAAGGTATAAACCTGCGCTGGCGACCTTACCAGCTGCAGTCCCAAATACCTCCGGAAGGGCTCGATCGAGGGCTTTATCTCACTCGCCGCTATGGTGCACAGGCCGACCTGGCAAAAGTCCCTGAACGTATTGTGCAGGAAGCCAAGGCAGAGGGCTTGCATCTGCGCTATGACTTAATCAAACGGATGCCGAATACCCGTCTGGCTCACCAGGTGCTTGCATTTGCGTTTCCCTATGGCGTGCAGCACACGCTGGCTCAGATTTTGTTTGAAGACTACTTTTGCCGCGGTGTAGATGTCGGCGATATTGAGCAACTGATGGCTGCCGCCAACCAGGTGGATATACCCCTGGCGCTCTTGCAGGAGTATCTTGCCGAAAACCGTGGGCTTGAAGAAATAGAGCTGCAGCGAAAAAGGGCGGCAGATCTCGGGCTCAGCGGTGTGCCCGGCTATTATCTGGCTGATCGATTTCTGCTGCCTGGTGCCCAGGATCAGGCGACTATGAAACAGATCATTCAACGGGTGAAAGACAAGCTCGTTGCAGAAAGTACTGACAAACAGGGTTAGCTGGGTTTTGGCAGCACAAAATTAGGCGTTACCGCCTGAGTAAAGGTATGTTTGGACAGCGTGTTGTACACATGCCCACAGCTGTCACAGTGGATAATGTAAAACCACGGCTGTTTTGCCTTTGAGCGCTCGCGGCTGGGTGTGCTGACAATGTGTTCGCTGCCGGTGACAGCACAATCCGGACATTTGGGTTGAGCGACAGCAGATTGACTGCTGTTGTTGTCTTGATCAGCCATAAAACCTCTTCGGGTGAGAACGGCGCAAGCCTCAGATGCTTTGATCCATTTCGTGCGCGGGAATATTGTTGTTCAGAGGCCCAACAATTTTGGCGGGTACACCGGCTACGGTGACATTAGGTGGCACATCTTGCAACACGACGCTGCCGGCACCAACTTTTGCATTTGTACCCACTTCGATATTTCCAATAATTTTGCAACCCGCTGACAACAGAACGCCTTTGCGGATTTTCGGGTGTCGGTCACCGCTGCTTTTGCCGGTTCCGCCCAGAGTTACGCCGTGCAGCATCGAGACATCGTCTTCGACAATTGCGGTTTCGCCGATAACAATGCCGGTTGCGTGATCAAACATGATGCCGGAGCCCATGCGTGCCGCTGGATGGATATCAACGCCGAGAGTGACGGAAATCTGATTCTGAAAAAACTGCGCGAGAGTGCGTCTTCCCTGGCCCCATAACCAGTGTGCTACACGATGGGCTTGTAGAGCATGAAAGCCTTTGTAAAACAGGAACGGTGTTGACAAGTCGTCACACGCTGGATCGCGCGTGTAGGTAGCAAGGACATCTATTTCCGCGGCGGATAACAGCATTGGATCAGCTTCCATAGCCTGCGCAATGACATCTCGAATCAACATCGTAGGCAGCATAGGGTTATCCAGCTTACTGGCCAGGCGAAAACTCAGCGCATCGCCAAAAGTCTGATGGTTTAGGATGGTCGCATGGAAATAGCTGCCCAAAATGGGCTCTTCCTGGGCTTTGCGCTGCGCCTCTTCGCGCATCAGGGGCCACAAATCTCCAGGGCCGCTGACATTAGCCAGTTCTGGATTCTGCGTGCCCGCAATGACCTGCGTAAAGCGATCAGTGATGTTGCCAACCGGATGCATATCAACAGCCTTAAATAAGCATAATGAACAACGCGAAGCCTATGCCCCTCATTGTATTTTGCAAGATCAAATAAACACAACGCGTTGCAGATGTGCACTGTGGTTTCACAGCGGTATCTGTAAATCTTCAGGACGATCTATGTCACGGATGATACCGATATCATCCGTGACCACGTATTTTATCTCTTTTTGATAATACTCTAACAAACCACGCGCACCCTGATCGCCATTAATCTCTCCCAACAAAGGATAGTAGTGGCGGGGCCAACCCACAGGGTGTCCGGCAGAAGTACCCCCCAGCCGGGGTTGAATAATCGCTTTTGCAGGTGCATCCAATGCCGCCCGCTTAAGGTTTTCAAGCGTTTGAACTTGTATAAACGGCATGTCTAACAAGCCGATAAAAGCATAGTCCCAGGGAAGCTTGCGAATACCACAGGCCAGTGAATACCCCATGCCCAGATGGGCATCAGGACAGCGGATAATATCTACAGGCAACGCTTCGATCAGACTGATCAGCGCGGTATCTTCGGGTTTCACGACCACACGAACGGCGCTGAATACACGGCAGTATGTCTGCAGTGTTAACTCTGCAACGCTGACACCGTTGAGTTGCGCAAGCCTTTTATCTGCACCGAACCGACGTGAAAACCCCGCGCCAAGGATCAGAGCGCCGCTGTCAACCTGCACTGGCTGAATTTAACTGTTGGATAACTTCCGGCAGGCGCTGGCTGCGAATAGCGCTTATCTCCGCGAGAATGGCAATCGCAATTTCTGGCGGAGTTTTGGAACCTATAGGCAGGCCGATAGGGGCATGCAGTTTGTCGATGTTTTCAGCACTGACATCCAGGGCAAGCAGACGCTCGCGGCGGCTGGCAGATGTGCGGGTTGAACCCATCGCACCAATATAAAATGCTTGCGTTGTGAGCGCTTCCATCAGACCCATATCATCAATACGCGGGTCGTGGGTCAACGCAACAATGGCCGTCAATTCGTCATTGGCGCAGGCTCTGATAGCATCGTCCGGCATGTCGACAATGGTCCGCACGCCTGCGACGCTGAAATCGTCCACCATCGCCTGTCGCGGGTCACAGACCGTCACTTCATAATTGAGCATCAACGCCATTTCAGCGAGATACTGACTGACCATTCCGGCGCCGATAATAAACAGTTGCAGACGGGGGCCGTAGGTATGCGTTAACACCTGCGTCTCTGCATCGAACACCAGGGGGCTGTGTTTGGTTACGCAACGCACAGTACTGCGACCGCTTTTCAAGTCGACCTGGCGCGCAACACAGCGCCTGGCATCCAGCTCTTCAGTCAAGGTTGTCAGGTTTGCTTGCGCGTCCGGGTTCAGATGCTGTGGTTCCACAACGATGTGGAGTGTGCCACCACACGGTAAGCCAAATTGTTCCGCTTCTTCGGTGCTGACGCCGTATTCAAAAAACTGCGGGCCTTCTGCTGCCAGCTCTGAATTAGCCAGTTTCGCCAGCAGATCATCTTCTACACAGCCGCCTGAGAGCGAACCCACCATTTGACCGCCTTCATTGCAGGCAAACAGTGAACCTACCGGTCGTGGTGATGAACCCCAGGTCTGGATTACCGTGGCCAGCCAACACTTCTGTTGATCGCCAAGCCACTTAAGTAGTTGGGTAAGCACTTCTTTATCTACAGCTTGCATAAATTCCTCGCTGACGCTGTTGGACCGGTTGTTCCACCTGCTTGCAAAGGTGGATAAGGCACGGGACACTGGCGCCAATTTTACACCATCTGCAACGGACTCGCGTCATACAAACGCGGGTAGCCATACTCATGTCTTTTACACCCATTTCCGGCCGCCTGGAGAGCCTGCAGGCAGATACCTCTGATGTGGTCAGAACCACAGAGACAGTGACACCAGAGTATCACCTGAACCTCGAGGGGCAGCGCCTGGCACTGCGGGCGTTTCTGGGTTGTGGCATCCGCTTCACCTACCGGGGGCAGCCCACCTGTCTGAACTGTCAGAGCGCCAGCGCAAAACTTTACGGCGGCGGTTACTGTTATCCCTGTTTCAGTACGCTGGCTCGATGCGATTTATGTATCGTCAGTCCCGAACGTTGTCATTTTCATCTGCATAGCTGCAGGGAGCCACAGTGGGGTGAAACCTTCTGCATGCAGCCTCATACGGTTTATCTGGCGAATACCAGCGGCACCAAGGTAGGCATTACCCGCGGTGGCCGGGAACTTAACCGCTGGTTGGATCAGGGCGCCGAGCAGGCATTAGCGATAGTAGAAACGCCATCCCGCCGTTGTGCAGGTTATGTAGAGCGCCTGTTAAAGCAGCAGCTGAGTGACAAGACCAACTGGCGCCAGCTGGTAACCGGTGTCCGCGGCGGTCAGGACCTGAACGCGCTTGCGGCTTCTCTGCGTCAGTCTGTGAATCTGCAGGATGCGTTTCGCAATACACCAGCAGATGCGTTGGAACAGGCACGGGTGCGTTGGCTCGAAGATTCGGTGCAGCTGACCATTAAATACCCGGTGCTGCGATACAGCCCGGCACAGCGCTTAAAAGTTACCCCGGAAGCGCCGGAGATTTGCGATAATCTGCAAGGCGTGATTGGCCAGTATCTGCTGCTGACTCGTGGTGTTGTATTTTTGCCTGACTATCGTGGACTGGCAATGGATATCACAATCAGCGAGCCGTTTAATATGACCGATCAAACCGAATCAGAACCTCTGTCGCAGCAGGATTCACTATTCTAGCTTCGCCTGGGAGTATTCAGCATGACAAACAGAAACGTCAACCAAGGACATAATGATGAAAGACGGGCAGCCGCAAGAAATTAAACTGGCGGATTACCAGGCGCCTGATTACTACACGCAGGCTACGCACCTGACATTTGACATCAATGATGGGGCAACGCTTGTTACCAACTTGATGTCGGTTGAGCGTCGTAACGATGCCGCGAATTCTCTGCAGCTGGACGGAGAACACCTCGAACTCGTTGCCGTGAGCATTGATGGCCGTGAGCTTGCTGGCAACGAATACCAGATTGATGAGGAATCTCTGACCCTGCACAATCTTGATGCCAGTCATGAGATCAAAATTGTTACCCGTATCAAACCCGAGGAGAACACCGCGCTGGAAGGTTTGTATCGATCCAGCAGCATGTACTGCACACAGTGTGAGGCCCAGGGTTTCAGGCGCATCACCTACTACCAGGATCGACCGGATGTGCTGGCAAAATTCACCACAACAATTGTGGCGGACGCCGCTGCTTATCCCACATTGTTGTCCAACGGCAACCTTATTGAGGGCCCAAGCATTGTCGATGGGCGCCGCAGTGTCACCTGGGAAGATCCATTTCCTAAGCCAGCTTATCTGTTTGCCCTGGTGGCTGGCGACCTGGAGATGATCGAAGATACGTTTACCACCATGAACGACCGTGTTGTTACTCTGCGGATCTATTCTGAGCCACACAATATTGCTCAGTGCGACTATGCGATGGGTGCGCTGAAGCGCTCCATGAAGTGGGACGAAGAGCAATTCGGACGGGAATACGATCTCGATATTTTCATGATCGTTGCTGTTGAAGATTTCAACATGGGTGCCATGGAAAACAAGGGGCTCAACATTTTCAATACATCCTGTGTTTTAGCCAGCAAAGATACCGCCACAGATGCTGCTTACGAGCGTGTTGAAGCGGTTGTCGCTCACGAGTATTTCCACAACTGGTCAGGCAATCGGGTGACCTGCAGAGATTGGTTTCAACTCAGTCTTAAAGAAGGCTTTACGGTGTTTCGTGACGCTGAATTTTCATCTGATATGAATTCGCGTGCGGTAAAACGTATCGACGACGTTACTTTTCTGCGCGCGGTGCAGTTCGCCGAAGATGCTGGCCCGCTGGCCCACCCTGTTCGACCAGCGTCTTATATCGAGATATCGAATTTCTATACCACCACAATTTACGAAAAAGGTGCCGAAGTTGTACGTATGTACAAAACGCTGTTGGGCGACGAAAAGTTTCGTGCAGGCAGTGACCTCTATTTCGAGCGCTTTGATGGCAGCGCCGCAACCACAGATGATTTTGCGGGTGTGATGGCGGAAGTTTCCGGGCGGGATCTGACTCAATTCAAACGCTGGTACGAACAAGCGGGTACGCCAGTTCTCACCGTGCACGAGTCATTCAGCGCAGGTGAATTCAAACTGACCATTACTCAAAGTTGTCCAGCCACCCCTGGACAGAAGGAGAAACTGCCTTTTCAGATACCGATAGAGCTGGGATTACTCAATGAAGAGGGCACCCCCCTTTCATTTTTTGACCTGGTGATAGATTGTGAAGAACAGTTTGAAAGTCGAGACGGTGGGTTTTCGCTGCTGTTGTCGATGACACAGCCCACTTCGACGGTGTCTTTCAGTTTTCTCGATGACAAACCGGTTGTAAGCTTTCTGCGAGGCTTTTCTGCTCCTGTCCGCGTTCACTATGAGCGACCTGCGGAAGACCTGAAACTTCTGGCTAACCATGATACGGATGGGTTTGTTAAATGGGATTCAATGACTTCTCTCTGGCTGCAGTCTTTTGAAGGTAAAGAGGTTGACCATGGCAGCCTGATAGATATCGTTGGAGGCATTGCTGAACAGGCTCTGCATGCGCCTGAGGATGCAGAGCAGAAAATGTTGGCGGCGACATTGCTGACTATGCCTGAAGCAAATTATCTGTTCGAACAGCTGAGCACACTTGACGTCGATCACGTTCTAAGTACGTCCGATCAATTGTATGCATCCATCGGCACGCAGCACAAAGCAACCTGGCTGGAACTGTTTGAGAAAAATACTGCATCTGGGCCTTATCAGCCAGACGGATTGGGTATGGCGCGGCGGGCATTAGCCAATCGGGCTTTCAGTTACTATGCACAAAGCCTTGAAGGTGATGAGCTTGCAGAGTTTGTGACCGGATATTTTTCCCAGGTGGATAACCTCACTGACCGCAGAGCTGCGTTAAGTGTGGCGGTACGTCATGAAAAACTCGCCGCCTCTGTGCGCAGCAAAATGCTGGAAGATTTTTATACCGCGTGGCAGGCTGAAGCCCTGGTTATTGATATGTGGTTCAGCCTGCAGGCGCAAAGCCCATTATCAACCATCAACGATCTGCAGGCCTTAACCCGGCATCCCGCTTTCGATGTAAAAAATCCGAATCGCGCCCGCTCGATATATAGTGCTTTTGGTATGTACAACCATCATCGCCTGCATGCTCTGGACGGTAGTGGCTATCAATTCATAGCCGATGCAATTGGTGAGATCGACCAGTTAAACCCACAACTCGCGTCTCGTATGGCAACGCCGCTGACCCGATGGCATCGTTATGATCATGAAAGGCAGGGCCTGATGAAGGCGCGGTTGGAGCAGCTGTCTCATTCACCTGACATTTCTAAAGACCTGTTCGAAATCGTCAGTAAAAGTCTACAAGCTGGATAGATTTGGCCGCCTGGCACCGCGGCCGCTGAACGCTAGACGCCGTCGGCGTAAAGCGGAGGCAGGGGGTTGAGCTGTTGCGGCGCTGTCTCACGATCTCGCAGGTTGGCGACGCAGCGCTGCAGCACCTTAAAGGCCTCGTCGAGCTGTTTCTCCGACAGTGCATGTTGATAAAAGTGCTGATCTATAGTGGTAAGCGCGCGATGGGCGGCATCATCAGCTTGCCTGAACTTCGCCAGCGCGAGGTGTTCGGGTTTTGAGTAGCGACGGCTGAGATACTGTTTCAGCTCAGTGATGGCCGTCGTTGCGTCCTGTGCGGCGATCGCTTCGTTGAAAGCGCGATAACACTGACCAGCGGTCTTTTCTGTGTTCGTTCGAGTCTTGCGCCTGCCGCGCAGAAAGAACCAGGCGAGTAGAATAACGACAGCTGTAATGCCGGCGATCAGAGCGAGAAGCTTCCCAGCAGACCAGTTGGCAGTCACCATAGGATTCGTTGCATTGTCGTCCAGTGCTGGGTCTTGAGTTTTGTCGCTGGCGGTATCCAGAGTGTCTAACGGACCTACAACCGCGGTGCCGGAAACGTTTAGCGTGCGAGCGGAAGTTGTACTGATCCGAACCTTTTTGTTGGTGGTATCCCACCAGATAATTTCCGTAGGGGGCAGGCTCAGGGAACCTGGTTGTAACGGCACAATAGAATTGGTTTGCAGGCGGGAGCCTTTCACCGTATCACCGCGGGTATCATCTTCGATCACCGGTGCGGCAGGATAAATTCGGAACTGATCTTCGTTTAATTCCAGAGGCAGCGGTGGCGCCATAGATCCAATGTTTCCCTGTATGTAGACCAGTAACTCATGCTTCAGGGTATCTCCAACCTCATGGTCGGGCCTGTCGGGACTGATGACGTACATCAGGTCAACATTGGTCGCCGGTAGCCACGGCGCATCAGCAGGGTAGCTGTCGGGGACTGGCAGAACGACAACGGATTCAGTGGGTGTACCAACGCGCACCCCTTTGCGTGACACCCGTCCATTTTCAATCAGCCTGACGCTGGCGGTAATGTTGATACCTGGCACTTCGAATGTGCCGCTGACCTCGGGATATATGGCATAACGTTGCTCGACAAGTCCATAAGTTTTGCCATTACGCGTCGTCGTGTCTGATCGGGTTTCACCCAGGGTGAGAACAACTGCGTCGCTGATTTCAGGTGCTCCCGGCAAATCGGAGTACAACTGCACACCCTGTGAATAAAGCAGACGGCGAGTCAGGATCAGCTGGCTCTGGACATAAATTTCCTGTGCTGACACTTCATTTTCGAAAAATACCAGTTCGTTGATCGTTTGCCTGGTGGTTGCTGACAAGGGGCGAACTTTCAGTTCCAGCGTCGGCGTCGGCTCATTACCCACTGTGATGCTCGGAATTTTCAATGTGCCGGTGCGTTTGGGTTGCAGGGTGATTTGATAGTCAACCCAGCTGACTCCTCGACCATTGAGAAACCGCGACTGACTGACTGTATTGGTGCTGAGTATGTGGAAATCTGACTCCAGGGCGCTGAGGTCCAGATTCTCCGTTTGTCGGGTTTCGTTGATTTTAATGGTTAGCCGAACGGTTTCCAGTTCGTCGATGTTCTGTGCAGACAGTTGCGCTGAAACGGCGGCGTGGGCCTGTGCAGAAAACACCAGAAAAGCGGCGATGCTGAGCGCAGCGCAAAACCTGCTTACCATAGTTTTTCACCCTGGCGGTTGCTGAAGTCGCCATTGCGCAGGCGTTCCTTGGTTTCATGAGAAAATTTCCGACGTAATAAACCGCCGGGGTCGTCGGGAACGCGTCGCAGCCACTGCTCCAGAGCTTCCTGCTTTTCATCTCTGGCGTTCTCGTTTTCTTCAGCCTCCGCCATTTGCTGTTCGGAGCCTTCCTGTTCGTTGTCCTGTTCACTCTCAGACTCATCCTGCTGTTCCTGCTCGGACTGTTCTGATTCATCCTGTTGTTCGGACTGATCCTGATTTTCCTGTTGGTCGCCTTGTTGGCTGTCACTGCTGTCGTTGTTCGCCTGACTCTGCTGGTTCTGTTCCTGCTCTTGCTGGGCGTCCTGTTTTTCCTTTAACAGACGCTCTATAAGATCTTTGTTGTACAGTGCATCTTCATGATCAGGTTGTACTGCAAGTACTTTGTCGTAGAGTGCTATCGCGTTTTCGTAGTCTCCCAGACGCGCAAGTGTGTTGGCCTCGTTGTAACGTCCTGTTGTGCCGGCATTTGCCTGAAAGCCGGTAAGTGCAGCAGCATAGTTTCCGCTGCGATATTCAGCTACAGAACGCCATTGTTCATTTTCGAACAGCGTCGCCGCGCGCTCAGGTTCGCCGCCTCGCAGCGCTTTGTAACCGCGCTGATCACCACGTTGCCAGAAGCTGTCCCAGACATCACTGATACCAGCGGCCTGGGCCGGAACCGCTGGCAGAATAGTCACTGCTAGCAGGCACACTAAAACACCCTTGCGAAAGCTGAGCAGAAGCAGGGGTATTAAAAGCAGGGTGACCCAATGCCCCTGATCAAACCAGGTGTCAAATTCCCGTTCTACTTCAATGGTTTCGTCGTCGCTGGGTAGCGGGGTGTCAAGGATAGAGAGAATGTCCCGATCACCTACGTCTGCCTGGGCGTATTTACCGTAGGATAACTCGGCAACTTCACGCAGACGGACGTCGTCGAGCAGGGCAATGACCTGATTACCTTCCTGGGTCTGCAGAAACCGTCCTGGCTGCCGCACCCGATCCAGCGGGATAACGCCGCCGTCATAGGTACCGATACCAAGAACGGAAATAGGAAAAGCCCGGCTGCGATGACGGGTGACGGAGCTGATATCGTCAATGCCATCGGTCACCATCAGAATTCGACCCTGCTGTACAAAACTGTTTTCGAACAGCTCGTGGGCCAGGGTTAACGCGTGATCTGGATTGCTGCCAAAAACCGGCATCATTTCCGGACTCAGAGACACTAACAAATTGGTGATGGTCGCCACGTCATCAGTCAGCGGCACAACGGCGTGTGCATCACCGGCATAGGCAATTAGCGCGGTTTGGCCTTCGTCACGCAGGCGCAGGGCATCTGCTATTTCCTGGCGCGCACGTTCTATCCTGGAGGGTTTCACATCCTCTGCAAGCATAGATAATGAGAGATCCAGCAGCACAACCAGAGCATCATTTTTCTGTTCAACACTTTGCGGAAGTTTCTGCCAGGTAGGCCCGGCAACGCCGATACTGGCTGCTGCCAACGCGCTGATCAGGAAGATGCCAAGCGTGCGGTTGGCTTGTTTATGGGCGCCATCCAGCAGGACATTGAGCAGGCTATCATCGATGCTGCTTTCCCACCCGGATCCTGTCTGGGTTTTGCGCACCCAATACCACCCCAACAGTATCAGCGCGGGTAAAGCCATGAGCCACAACGGACGGAGAAAATGAAACTCTTCAAACATAACGTTTTCTCGCAATGTCGATCAGCAGCAGAAGTGCAAACAGCGCGAGGCCGAGACCCAGAGGATAAAAATAAAGCGCCTGTATCGGACGATAGGTTTCAGGGTCCTGATCAATGGGCTCCAGTTCATCTATCAAGCTATAGATTTCCAACAACCCCTGTGTATCGCGGGCGCGGAAATATTTTCCGCCGGTAGTTTGTGCAATGGCAGTCAACGTGTCTTCGTCAAGATCTGCAGAAGGATTGGTAATGCGTCTGCCAAACAGACCGGGCATCCGCATCTCGTCAGCACCTACACCTATAGTGTAGATTTTGATGTTATCGAAGGCGGCAAGTTCAGCGGCTTTCTCTGGTTCAACTTCGCCCACATTGTTAGCGCCGTCGGTCAGCAGAATAAGTATTTTATCTTCCTGTGGACGCAGGCGCAGGCGTTTTACAGCTAATCCGATCGCATCTCCAATTGCGGTTTTACCGCCAGCGATACCAATAGGGGCTTCAATCAGCAGACGATTCACACTGGTCAGGTCGAAAGTCAGGGGGGCTTGCAGATAAGCGTTTGTACCAAACAACACAAGCCCAACGCGATCACCTTTGCGTTCTTCGACAAAGCTGCTGACCACTGCTTTCACGACATTTAACCGATCAACAAAGTCTCCATTGAGCGCCATGTCCTCGGTTGCCATGCTGCCGGAGATGTCTACAGCCAGCATTAGATCTCGTCCACTGGTAGGCAACGTAACGGCGTCCCCAGTCCACTGTGGTCGAGCTGCAGCAACCAGCAGGAGGCACCATATGGACCACAACAGGATATGCTGCCAGCGCCGGCCTGGTTCGATAAATGACTGTTCATCAGACACTTCTGCAAAACGAGATAATGAAGGTACCGTCAACGCGGCTTGTGTTCTGCTTTTCGCCTGCCAGAGCATACGCACTGCGAGGGGCGCTGGTAACAAGACAAACATCCAGGGCCATAACCACTCAATCATGGTTTCACCTTGGCCAGCACCAGCTGCAAGGCGCTATGCAGTTGCTCAACATCAATTTCTGGTGCCGCGCTGAAGCGGCTGTTACCAAGCACGCTGGCAGCACCATTACTGAATTTTGAAGTGCCGGAAAGCTCGTCCAGCAGATCCAGCCAGGCATCGCCGGATAAGCGCGCGTAACTGGTTTTTTGATAAGCCCGGACCATGAGACGCTTCAACAGTTCATTGCCAGAGTGCAGGTATTCGTCAGCGCTGATCTCTCCCGCCTGATAGCGACGGTATAGGTCTGCCAGCTGTACTTTGGCGGCACGGGACGGCGCGCGTCGTTTGAAGTGATCAATGAGCTGTCGGCAGGCCCAGATGAGGGCCAGCAGGAGCAGCAGCGCAAACAGCCACCAGCCGAAGGCGGGCGGCCACCAGGAGGGATCCGGCGGCAAATGAACGTCGCGCAGTTGCTGTAGGGGATCGCCTTCCATTACACCCAGACCATCTCGTCAAGGTTGGTGTTGTCTGTCTGTACGCCGACATAAGTCATTGCGTCATGTCGACACATTTGTTTGATTGCTTCCGTTCGATCCGCAAACCGTTTTGCATATTTATTGCGCAACTGATTGTCGCCGGTATAAAACTGCAGGCGGCTTTTTCCATCTGTAACGGCATAGTGATCCGCCGGCGGTAAATGCTGTTCCAGTGGGTCGTAGATGTGTACCAACACAACCTGGTTATGCCGGGCGAGTTGATGCAGGTGTTGCTGCCAGCGCTCCAGATCACCCGCAAAATCGCTCAAGATAAAGATCCGAAAATTTGTTCTCGTTAAGCGCCGAACGCGCAACATGCCTTCATCAACACTGGCGGTGCCGTCTATATTGCCCGGCTTCAGACTGCGATTACACTCGCTCACATCGTTTAATAACCGGGCGACCGCCTTTGCGGTGCGATACGGGCGATGCACAATCTGCTGATCGTTGCTTATGACAACCCCGCCAACGCGGTCACCTGCGGCCAGATTCTGCCAGGCTATGCGTGCCGCCAGGTCAGCACACGCAACCGATTTAAGCCGCACTTTAGAGCCAAAAAACATCTGTTGTGACTGATCAACTACCAGCAGCGTTGGACGCTCTCGTTCTTCACGAAAAATTTTAGTATGTGGTTTGTTTTTCCGTGCGGTGACACGCCAGTCTATCGCCCGAATGTCGTCACCCGGTTGATAGGTTCGTACTTCAGAAAAATCCACGCCACGACCTTTTACTTTTGACAGCTTTAAACCCGCACGATTGCCGACCACGCGAGAGCTGCTTGCGGGATTCTGTACCATGGATTTGTATCGTAGCGCTAATAATTGGTCCAGCGCGACATATGCGCCGCTCAAAACCTCAGGCTCTACTGTACTTGGCATTGCCGGCACCTGACTTATGGTACGGGTACCTGGTCGATCAGAGCATCAATGACCTGGTCCGGTGTGACGCCTTGTGCAGCAGCTTCAAATGACAGAATCAGCCGATGCCGCAGGACATCATGTGCTACGGCCTGAACGTCTTCCGGGGTCACAAAGTCTCTGCCGTTAAGCCATGCCAGCGCACGCGAGCACAGGTCCAGGGCGATTGTTGCTCTTGGGCTGCCGCCAAACTCTAACCATCTGGCCTGATCTTCGGACGGCTTCCTTGAAGCCATCACCAGCGCAACAATATAGCGTTCCACTGAATCGGTCATGTGCAGGTTCAGCAATTCTTTTCGCGCGGAAAATATCTGTTGTTGGGAAACTACCGGTGGAGGCTGTGCGTCGCTGTTTGACGCACTTTCATGGCGAACAAGATCGAGTATTTTTCTTTCCGCCGTTGCGTCCGGGTATTCAACAATGACGTGCAGTAGAAATCGATCCAGTTGCGCTTCCGGAAGCGGGTAAGTGCCTTCCTGTTCGATGGGATTCTGGGTTGCCATGACCATAAACAGGTCTGCAAGAGGGAAGGTCTCTCTCCCGACGCTGACCTGGTGCTCCGCCATAGCTTCTAATAAAGCTGATTGAACTTTGGCAGGCGCACGGTTGATTTCATCGGCCAGAATCAGATTGTGAAAGATGGGCCCTTCCTGAAATTTAAAAGAACCATCTTCAGGGCGAAAGATTTCGGTGCCGGTCACATCACTGGGCAGCAGGTCGGGTGTGAACTGAATCCGGTGGAAGTCGCCTTCGATCACTCTTGCCAACTCTTTAATCGCACGGGTTTTTGCAAGTCCTGGCGCACCCTCGACCAACAAATGGCCGCCACACAGCAGCGCCATCATGAGTCGTTGTATCAACAGGTCCTGGCCTATAATTTTGGTTTCCAACCAACGGGATGCCTGGTTGATAGATTCAAATGTCGACTCGGTTGAAACGGTGTTCATAATTTCTCGGAAGTTGCGCAACGGGCTATTGTAGCGGTCGGTCTAGTGAGGTCCAGCGTTAGCAGGTTGCAAATTGTGTCTATAGTAAATGAATGGCTAGTGTTAAACCCTCAACAGCTACACCTAAGCGACGTTTCGTGGTCGATTTGCGGCTGACACCGACGCAGATCGAGGCGTTTTACGCCGGTGCCGTCAGTCAGGTTTCTGCCCGCGACCGGCACGGTTTGCGTATCGCATTCCCCCTTGCGAGTCTGCGACGATTCATTGATCACAGTGGAATTACTGGAAGTTTTGTTATCGATGTTGATCAGCACAACAGGCTGAAGAAGATAGAACGGTTATAGATAGACTGCCAGTACTGATAAATTGCTACCAAAATACTCAGAAAGCTATCGTTACGCACAATAAAGGTGCGTAATTTCTGCATCAAACCACTTGAACGCATTTTCCTGCCCCCATACAGCTCGGTTACCTTTTCCATGCACGAAAATGTGGCATATCGAGAAACCGTCATGAATAATGCCCTGTAGATAATTTGAAAATTGCACGGCTTTTAGGGGAGAGAATATGAGCAGAGCACTGATTTTGCTGATGGCAGGCATGTTGAGTTTACCGGCATGGGGTGATACGGGCTTCAGCGGTGCAGATACGGCTTGGATTCTAACTGCAACGGCATTAGTCCTGTTCATGACAATCCCTGGGTTGTCTCTGTTCTATGGCGGGTTAGTTAGAACCAAAAACGTGCTCAGTGTTCTGATGCAGTGTTTTACGATCACCTGCATCGTTTCCATTTTATGGTTGGTACTGGGTTATTCGCTGGCGTTTAGTGATGGTGGTTCAGCCAACGCGTTTATTGGCGGCCTCGAAAACGTCATGTTCGGCGCAATTTCACAAGACACCCTGGCAGGCAGCATTCCGGAAAGCTCTTTTGCACTGTTTCAGATGACTTTTGCAATTATCACACCGGCGCTGATTGTCGGCGGCTTTGCAGAGCGTATCCGATTCTCTGCCATGGTGGTCTTCAGCGCCGCCTGGCTGTTGTTGGTTTATGCACCCGTCTGTCACTGGGTCTGGGGTGGCGGCTGGTTGAGCGACCTTGGTGTTATGGACTTTGCTGGTGGCACCGTTGTTCACATTACTGCGGGTGTTGCCGCTCTTGTTGCCGCGATCATGCTGGGAAAGAGACGAGGATTTCCGACCCAAGCCATGCCGCCGCACAACATGACCCTGACGGTCACCGGCGCAGGCATGTTGTGGGTGGGGTGGTTTGGCTTTAATGGGGGTAGCGCATTGGCCGCAAACGGCGACGCCGCCATGGCCATGCTGGTCACTCATGTATCTGCGGCTGCTGGTGCAATTACCTGGATGGCGGCTGAGCGCCTTAAATATGGCAAGCCATCAGCACTCGGCGCGGTCACAGGCATGGTCGCCGGTCTCGGCACCATTACCCCGGCATCCGGCTTTGTCGGCCCCGGTGGCGCGTTGATTATCGGCATCAGTGCCGGTGCGATATGTTTTCTGGCAACAAATTACATCAAACGAACGCTGAAAATTGATGACTCTCTCGACGTATTCCCGGTCCACGGCGTGGGCGGAATCCTGGGCACAATGCTGACCGCGATATTCGCCAGCAATGCTCTGGGCATTTTCAGTGGGCAGGAAGAGATCAACATCGGTAGCCAGTTAGGCATACAGGCAGTTGGCGTGATCGCAACCCTGGCATACACCGCTGTTGTGACCTTTGCCATTTTGAAGTTCACGGACATTGTATTTGGTAATCGTGTCGAAGACGAAGAAGAACTCGAGGGCCTCGACTTAGTCTCCCATAACGAACGTGGTTACGATTTGTAGAGGACAACGCTAAAGTTCTGTCGCGGGCTGCCGTTATCCAAAAGACCGATCAAGGATGACGGACTTAGCCATGCAAATTACAAATCCCAGTGGCGCAACAGTTCAGCCGGGTTACGCCCAGGCGCCTGTTGTGTCCGCGGCAGTGGGGAATCCACAAACCCAGACCCTGGTACAGAACAACAGCCAGGTCGCCGCTGCGGCGTCAACCTACCCGGTAGCGATGATGAGTCCTGCCTATTTAATGGCTTACGTGCAGATGCCTGTGGCCATGAGCAGCTTCAACGGGGTTATGCCTGGTGCGCCAATGGCTGCGGCCGGTGCAGGCCAGGGCATGGCCGCGAGCGCCACAAGTAATTCAAACGGCGCGGGGCATGTGACCGCCAATCCAACCAATTCCACCGCTGCAGGTGCATCCCCATACACATCCCCAGCTATGGGGGGATATGGTGGCTACGGCGGTGTGGGAGGTTATGCAGGCTACGCTATGCCGGTAATGATGATGGCGCCGGTTTTCCTGCAGATGGGTTACCCCATGGTGTTCCAGGGTTCCGTTGCACAGCCACCGGCAGCTGACCCGGTAGCAGCAGCGCCTGATGATGTGGAGGTGCCCACAAGTCCAACAGCTCCAGCGCCTGAGATACAAACCGCGGCTGTGCCGGATGCGCCTGTGAATACTGATGGGACGGTCATTGATGTCGTGCCACAGCCTGAACCGGATAAACCATCCGCCAGTTTGCCAGCCTTGCCGATCAGTTCCCTACAGGCGGATGATTTCGCTGACTACAAGCTCATAGAAAAGAGCAGGCAGCAGGAAACCAATCTGAGCTTTTCACTGACCACAAAAGACGGTGATCAGATCACGCTCAATTTCAGCCAGATTGACGCCACCTCAACAATGCGTTTTAACGGTGAAACCCTGGATGGTGACACCATGCGGGACAGTCGTTTTACAGAAGAGTCTGAACGCGTGGTCAACATGGACGTGGTAGGTGACCTGTCAGACGATGAAAAGGCCGCCATCGACAAAGTGATGTCTACCGTGATCGAAGCGGTTAACTCTTTTTTCACGGGTAAAACCGGTGATGCTGTTGCCAAGCTGAAAGCCATGGATTTTGACGGAGCACAGCTGGCTGAGATGTCTTTGAATATGTCGCTCAGTAAATCAGCAACGGTGTCCAAAGCGTATCATGATGGCGGTGATTATCTGCATGATCTCAAAAACCGAGATGCGGACATTGGCCAGGCGCTTGAGTTCATGGCCACAGAACAAAAACGTTTGATTGACATGGCTAAGAACATGCTTGACGCACCAAGTGCTGCCAAATTAGTGCGCTCGCTGGTGCCACCTATGATGTCTGAGCCTTTTGCCGAGCTGGCGCAACAGATCGCTGCACCTGAACTCGAAGATACCACCAGCGACGACATGATCGATAAAGATACAGCCGAGGCCGGGTAACGCTAAATCCGCGTAGACGCTAGCTTAGGATTAAATCTGCCCCGCGTCTGGCGGCTTGTCTGACCAGATGGTCCACCAGCTTCTGGAAGGGATAACCAATTGCTTCGGCGCCTTCAGGGTAAAGACTGACGGGCGTCATGCCGGGCAGGGTGTTTACCTCAAGCAAGGTAATAGCACCATCGTCTGTAACGATAAAATCAGCCCGGGATAGATCCCGCAGATCCAGCACCTGGTGTGCCTTCACCGCAATATCCTGTAACTGTTGTCCCACATCTGCCGGCAGCGGTGCTGGTATCAGATGTTCGCTTTGTCCTGGCGTGTAACGGTTTTCATAGTCATACCATTGCGCGTGCGCGGTAATAATCTCGATGACCGGGTGTGCCAGCAGAGTTTGCTCAACCTGGAGGACGCCCACGGTGATCTCTTTGCCGGCCACGTAGGGTTCTATCAGGCAATTACCGAAAACAAGCGCCTGTTCTAATGCGCCTGAAAGATCGCCGCCGTTAGGCAATGGGGTCACACCAATAGCAGAACCCTGACTCAAGGGCTTAATGACAACGGCTGGTCCTAAAACACTGAGAATTTTCTCGCTGGCTACACTCAGATCATCGTCTGGTGTAACTACCAGATCAGGCGCCACCGGCAGGTCTGCCTGACGGAAAATATGTTTGGCTACGGCTTTATCCATAGCCATCGCACTGCCGCGCACGCGGCTGCCGACGTAAGGTAGTCCCAGCATCTCAAGCATACCCTGGACCGTGCCATCTTCTCCGGGAGGTCCATGCAGTGCCGGAAATACAACGTCAGGCGCTATGTTCAGCAGTGTTGCCATACAGCCTTCATCCAATTCAACCAGGTGGCAATCATGGCCTGCGTTGACAAGCGCCTGCGCGACCTGCTGGGCTGAATTGCGTGAAACCTTTGCTTCCGCAGAGGCGCCACCCATCAAAACGGCAATGCTGAGTGTCTGTTCAGGCATAGGGGTTACGTATCCTTTGCAAAACCCTGGGATGGAACGGGTGCCATCACCGTTGAAGGTTGATGAGTGGAGCGCAGGCCCGGGCGCGGGTGAATGCAGCACCAGCGCTCATGATCTCTCCAGGCACCATTAATAAATAAAAAGGCTTCGGAATATCCTTCTTTGATAAAACCACATCGCGCAACCAGGTTAGCTGATCGAGTGTTTTCAGGCTGAATATTGGCTTCCAGTCGATGTAAACCCATGGTGTTGAAAGCATAAGCCACCAGCTGTTGCAGACCTTCCTGCATATATCCTTCGCCCTGGTATTCTGCGCCCACATAATAGCCCAGTGAAGCACTCTGGAAGGAGCCACGCACAATATTGTTGATATTGATTACGCCAACGATGCGGTTGTCCTCTTTCCGCGTGATCACAAAACCCGCGTGGTCTTCACGATTCACTCTCTGCAGATAATATTTGAACAGTACGGGGTTGGTGGGCGGCGTTATCCATGGCTCGTGCAGGGCCATGCTGCCGCGCATCAGATGAACAAATTCCTGTTCGTCTTCGCGCAGCACGCGTCGAATAGAAACCCGTGGCTTATCCTTCACCAGCTTCTCGATTTTCGAGTAGAAATATTTCCCAGAGCGTAGGCGGGATCAGTGCCAGACCGAAAATCAGCAGATACACCGGGTGCCCATTGAGTGTATTTGCCATAGGCCAGACGCTGGCCAGGTCAAAATTGATCTGTTGCCAACCTAAAAGGCCTGCGGTGGTTAAGGCAAACCCGACTGAGAGCAATAAAAAGCGGATCAGAAAGCGAAAATACATGCCGTGGTCAATCTCATATTAAGGGCCAGTCGAAGTTTGTGCTGCCAGAACATAAGCAGCGCCGCGCCGTGATAACCAGGCGTTGATAAACTCTTCCAGTGCATAGCGACGCTCAACTTCCGGATGGTCAGCTGCGGCCGGATCCATGACCAGCACCTCATTGTCATCCACGCCGTATAAAAGTACCAGATGCCCGGGGGTTTGCGTCAATGGCGCATTGTTGAGCTCGCCAGTCTCAAAACGAATACTGCAGACCAGTGGGATCTGCTGTTGCAGTAGCGCAAACACGTCGGCCCAGTGTTCAAATACTTCAACGGCGCCTACTATCCCGTGCTCACTGGCCCAGCGTATGGCCAGGGGCCAGGAACCGTAGGCTTTACTGATCGGGTCGTAGCAAGCGGCCACGGTCGCCGCCCAGGAAGGGTGGTGGGTGAATTTTGAGAGCGCCATCTGCAGTGCTGTTGGCGAGCAGATACGGTGGGCAATGGCCGCTTCAGCCTGCATCTGACTGATGCTGGCTGGAATGGACACTATCGCCTTGCCGCCGGTAACCGGTATGTCCGGCGTTGTGCACAGCGGCCGGAGGCCAACTACCAGCAGGTAATCGCGTGGCTTTTCTACAGATTCGACCACCACAGTGACACTGCTGGCAGCTGTGTCTGTGGTCGTGTGCCAGCAATCGATATGCGTTGAAACAGCAGCCTCTTTGCCCGAGACAACTTGGGTTGTGGCATTTTGCTGCTGGTCAGCAACCCCGGGAACGTGTTGGAGGGTACTTTTTGTATCGCCGTTGCAGAACTCAAAATAGTATTTGCCGTGGTCATGCAATTGCATGTAGCTGGGTACAATGATGTGTCTTTCCGGAAGCGCGGGCAGAGCAACATCTGCGTGCCAGGTATTTTGTACAGGTCCGGCGTACCAATTCGCTGCGCCATCCACCGTCAGTGGATAGAGTTTTTCAATGTTGGTGTCAGCTAGTCGGATGGCTAAGTTCATGGCAAGATCTTACCCGCGAGCTTGCAACAAAACATCTTTTCCATGCCACAACTGAATTTTTATACCACTGCTCACTGCAGTTTATGTGAGCAGACGTTGGACCTTTTGTTAAGTACACCAGAGCTGGCCGGATTTCAGGTGCAGACCATAGATATTGCCGACGATCCTGAGTTGCTGGAGCTATACGGCAGAAAAATACCGGTGCTTGAACACAAAGGAAATGAATTGAGTGCGCCCATAGAGAAAAATGGTTTGCTGGCCTGGTTGGCTCAACTTCAGTAGCAGCGATGACTCTAGCGAATCGCTAGACGCTGCTCGCTGACCCCGAGGGTAGGGGTGGGTGTATTCAACTTGCTGCCATAGACATGACGGAAGGCGAGCACGTTTTTCACATAGTTGCGGGTTTCTCTGAAGGGTATGCGTTCAATCCAGACATCCATAGGCATATCGTTTGCATCTTTGATCCAGCGATCTACGCGGTGTTCGCCTGCGTTGTAAGCAGCGATGGCTAACGGGGTCTGCCCCTGGTATCGCTCAATCAACCAGGCCAGATGATAACTGCCCAGACGGATGTTGATATTTGGATCAGCAAGATCAGCGGCTGATGGCTGCGCCAGTCCGGCTCGGCGCGCGACGATACGAGCGGTGCTGGGCAACAGCTGCATGAGCCCGCGCGCATCAGCAGAAGAACGCACATCAGCCTGCATGGCAGATTCTTGTCTTGCTATAGAAATCAGCAGCGGCACAGGTAAGCCTGTACGTAAGCCAGCCTGCCTGAACTGCGCCTCATAAGCCAACGGAAACCTTAAGTGTAGATGGTTGGTCGCTTCTGCAATATTTGCAGTGCTGATGGCAAGGTGTATCAGGCCCAGGCTTGCAGCCAACTCGGCGGCAATCACCTGCTCATCAAAACTCAGAGCATTCAGCGCCTTGTACCATTCTCGACGGGCGTTGAGATTGTCCCCCACGGCGAACAACTCGATGCTGCGTGTAATGCTCGGATGGCGTCGTATTTGGGCCAGGTCGACGTTGGTTACATTGGCACTCTGTGCATTCATCTGGCCAGGCAGCCCAAGCTCCTGCGCGGCCAGGAAGCCGTAGTAGTGTCGTTGGCCGGCGAGGGCAACCAGGGCGCTGTTGTCAAAATTCGCACCACTTGAAGAACGTTTATGTGCCTGTGCTGCCCAATAGACCCACTGGGATTTCTGTTTGATGTCCGCGGGCAGTTGGCCTGTCCAGAAAATCACTTCAGCCCAATTCTGTGCTCTTACGGCAGCGTCAGCTAAATCTTCTATGACATTGCTCAACGTTATTCTGCTGCGCATCGATTCGGTAGGAAAAACCTGATTTTCCCGTGCGGAAGCTACCGCAACGACGCCATCGATACGCTGTCGGACATTAGGGTCAAATGTGTGACTACGTTGATAGCGCCGCCAGAGTTTTGCCGCTTCAGCAGCGTCCCGGGAGGCGAGGCGGGATAATCCGTGTGCGATGATGTTCTGCACCCGCAGTGAATTGTCTGCAAAGTCACCACTGCGAGAAATCTGTGACGGATTCACATGGACGTTGTAGTAACGCTCAGCCAGTGACTTGTTGGCGTCGTTAAAGTATCTGATCAGATAACGCGCAAGGCTACGGGCGTTGCCTTCGATGGCTGCAGTAAATCGCTGCCAGACAACATCCTGGGTAAACCGTGAAGTTTTTCGCCAGTCCGCAAACAGTGGATCACAAGCTGCAGGTTGGGAACGCGGTTGCACCCAGATACTGGTCACTTGATCCAATACGGCGCTGGTCTCGCCGGCTGCAGCACGCGCCTGCAGTTGAAAACAGATCAGTTCGGCATCACTGGTTGCTTCATAGTGGTTCAGAAAAGTCTGCCAGCGGGCCTGCTTCCCCAACTCCCTTAACCAGCGCTTGCGTGTCAGCGAGGTCACCGCAAGATCGGGATAGGTTTCCAGGAATGAGATGACCTCAGCCCTCGATGCTCGATTCAGTCGACGTCGCAGATCGTAATATTTGAGATAGGGATAAAGTGGATACGCCTGCAGGCTCTCAGCAATGCGACGATAATCGGCGTCAGCATCTTTGCGCAGGTATTCCCGGGCCTTTAAATAGTCCGCACGCAGCGCAAAATCAGAGCGAACCTGTGCGGCTGTTGCACTGACGCTGCTGAGACAAAGAAATAGCAGTAAACAAGTGGTGAGTTTTATTCTTCTTTACCTACACGCACTGCCAGCACATCACACATCGCGCCGTGTAAAACACCATTTGCGGTTGAGCCGAGTAACAAAGCCAGACCATGTCGTCCATGGCTACCAATCACAATCACATCCGCTCCGAGGTCATCTGCAACGCGCTGAATTTCGCTTTCAGGACGGCCAAAAATGAGATGCTGACGCTCAGCAGGTACGTTCATACCCGCGCCGAACTCACTTAAATGCGACTTGGCCTGCTCCTGAATCTGCTCCTGCACCGAGGAAAGGTCCATCGGTACATCACCCCCGTAAGCAAGGCTCAGCGGCTCAATAACATGCACAAGGTGCAACTCAGCGTCATACGCTTTGACAAGTGCCAATGCCCGCTGCGCAACGGGTTTAGAATCTTCGGTTAGGTCTACAGCCAGTAGTATCTTTTTGTAGTCGGACATCTTGCTCTCTCACCCTGTTTGGCGCGACGATACAACGTCACCTGGTTACCCTCAAGCATGGCATACAAATTTGACCTGGTTAATTATTTTTCTTGTTGTCGCGTTGGTTGTTGGACCGGTTCTGTATCTGCTCCCCAACCCCCGCGACAAGCGCCTGATGACCCTGCGTGGCACAGCACGCGCCCAGGGTATGTCCGTGCAGATCACGACGGTGGCCAAATTAGATCCCACTGCCGCTGAGCGCGTCAGCGCTGGTGGCAAGGCTCTGCAACCGAAGACCGCCTGCGCAGGTTACAAACTCCCGGTCGGCAAGAAACTTTTCGTAAAGGGAGAGGTGATGCTGATCAAGTTGCCGCCGGCACCGTCGATGGTTGTCAATGAAGTGCTGCCTGGCGTGGCCTTGAGCGCAGATTCAGATAAACAGCTGTGGCAGCAGTACAACGCGCAGGGCATCGCAGCGGAATTAATCCAGGATGCATTCCATCGGCTGCCTGAAGATACCCTGGCGATAGCCATAGAAAGGCACAACGTGGTGTGTTTCTGGCAGGAAAAAGCTAAGGCAGATGCAGGCCAGGTTGAAATAATCAAAGGGGTACTCGAAGGCCTGCGAGCAGACCTTCAGGCACGTTTTGGTACCTCCTGAAGCTATTCGCAGTTCATCAAATTTACCTAATCAGGCCCCACTTTTCTTGACAGTGCCAGCTGCCACGCCTATAAACCGCGCCATCGTTGCCTGATTACAGATCTACAACGACAAAGGAACACGCGTCTCTACCGGGTCGCCACAAAAGGAATACTGGAGCGTTATGGCTCGATCACTGGTCATTGTCGAATCACCCGCGAAAGCGCGGACTATCAACCGCTATCTCGGCAAAGAGTACGTGGTGAAATCCAGCGTGGGGCATATTCGCGACCTCCCCACCGGCGGAAAAGCGGTCGATCCCAAGGCGCGTGCTCAGGAAGCAGCAAAAACCAAAGCACTGACACCGGCCAAACGCGAGGCGTATAAAAAGAAGCGGGCACGTGACCAACTCGTCAAGCGTATGGGTGTGAATCCGGATAAAAACTGGGCTGCAGAATACGAAGTTCTACCCGGTAAAGAAAAAGTTGTGGACGAATTGTCCAAGCTCGCAGCTAAAGCCGACATGATTTACCTCGCCACTGACCTTGACCGCGAAGGGGAAGCCATCGCCTGGCACCTGCGCGAGACCATTGGCGGTGATCCAGGTCGCTATCGCCGCGTGGTGTTTAATGAGATCACCCGTAAAGCAATAACGGCTGCCTTCGAGGCACCCGGCGAGCTGGACATGGATCGCGTCAATGCTCAACAGGCCCGGCGCTTCCTGGATCGGGTGGTTGGCTTTGAAATATCCCCGTTGCTTTGGGCAAAAGTGGCACGAGGCCTGTCCGCCGGTCGGGTGCAGAGTGTCGCCGTTAAATTGATTGTTGAGCGTGAACGGGAAATCCGTGCGTTTGTGCCAGAAGAGTATTGGGAAGCGTTTGCTGATCTTAAAAGCGACAAAGCGGCTGAACCTGTTCGTTTTCAGGTGGCCCGGCATAATGGCGAAAATTTTCGACCCGGCAACGCAGATGACACCCAGGCCGCGCTGGATGCATTGCGGGCAGCTGATTATGAAGTCTCGAAACGAGAGGATCGCCCAACAAAATCCCGCCCCAATGCGCCATTTATTACATCGACCCTGCAACAGGCCGCCAGTACACGTCTGAGTTTTTCCGTAAAGAAAACCATGACCATGGCCCAGCGCCTTTACGAAGCGGGTTACATCACCTACATGCGTACCGACTCAACCAATCTGAGTGCAGACGCGGTGGATGCGTGCCGGGAACATATTCAAAAAGAATACGGTGCAGACTATCTGCCTGAAGCGGCCAAGAAATATTCATCGAAAGGTGATGCTCAGGAAGCGCACGAAGCGATCCGTCCTTCCAATGTTGGCACCCGAACCGAGCACCTTGAAGGTGTCGATCCAGATGCTGTACGCCTTTACGATCTGATCTGGCGTCAGTTTGTTGCCTGCCAGATGACTGAGGCGAGGTATCTGAGCACATCGATCACCGTTTCCGCGGGTGAATACGAATTACGCGTCCGTGGACGTATTCTTCAATTTGACGGGTTCACCCGGGTGTTACCTCCTGCGTCCCGTAAGGAAGACGATACACCGTTGCCTGACCTGGCTCAGGGAGATGCCCTGGATCTGCTCGACGTTGAAGGCATACAACATTTCACCAAACCGACGCCACGCTTTGGCGAGGCGTCGCTTGTGCGCGAACTTGAAAAGCTCGGAATCGGTCGGCCCTCCACCTACGCGGCGATCATTTCCACCATTCAGGATCGCGGTTATGCCACGTTGAACAATCGACGCTTCTATGCGGAAAAGATTGGTGAACTGGTGACTGACCGTCTGTCCGAATCGTTTAAGGACCTGATGGATTATTCCTTCACTGCCACCATGGAAGAGCAGCTGGACAAGATCGCTGAAGGTGAGGCGAAACTCAACGAAGTGCTGGATCAGTTTTATGGCGATTTCTCTGAACGTTTAGACCAGGCCAAAGATCCAGAAGCCGGTATGCGCGCCAACGATCCTACGGATACGGACATCGTCTGCAGCGTGTGTGGTCGTCATATGCAGATTCGCACGGGTTCAACCGGCGTATTTCTGGGATGCTCGGGTTATGCCCTGAAGCCTAAAGAGCGCTGCACACATACCGTCAACCTGATTCCAGGTGACGAAGCGGTAGATGTCGAAGAAGACGAGGAAGGTGAGTCTAAACGTCTGCGTAACATGCATAAATGCCCGGTTTGCGGCACCAATATGTTGAGCTACCTGGTTGACGAGCAACGCAAACTGCATATCTGCGGTAATAATCCGGACTGTGCCGGGTTCGAAATTGAAGCGGGTCAGTTTAAAATCAAAGGCTACGATGGGCCTGTCCTCGAGTGCGATAAATGTGGCGCTGAAATGCAGCTCAAGTCGGGCCGATTTGGTAAATACTTTGGCTGCATGGAATGTAAAAATACCCGCAAACTGCTGCGCAGTGGTGAACCTGCGCCCCCTAAGGCAGACCCTATCGACATGCCTGAGCTGCAGTGTGAAAAAGTTGATGACCACTATCTATTGCGCGATGGTGCAGCCGGTATCTTTCTGGCGGCCAGTCAGTTCCCAAAACATCGTGAAACCCGCGCGCCGAAGGTCAGTGAGTTAAAACCTCACGCCAACGAATTGGATCCAAAGTTTCAGTATCTGCTGGAAGCACCGGATGCGGATTCGGCTGGCAATCCAGCCATCATCCGTTTCAGTCGTAAGACCAAAGAGCAGTATGTGCAGACAGAGGTAGAGGGCAAAGCCACAGGTTGGAAAGCTTTTTATGTGGATGGCAAATGGGTAGAAGAGCAACCCCCGGCACCTGCAAAAAAGAAAGCGCCGAAGAAAAAGGTGGCCAAGAAAAAGACAGCATAAAAAAAGCGGCTAAAGATTAACTGTTAGCCGCTAAAAGTGCAGTCCCAGATCTGCGGCCAGCCTGAGGCCGGCTGAATGTTCAGGCGTTAGAGATGCTGTCGGATAACACCCACAGACAACCCTTCTATGGCAAAAGCCTGGGTTGTGAGGTCAACCTCAATCGGGTCGTACGCAGAGTTTTCCGGTAACAGTAGAATCTGATCGCGCTTACGCGTGCGTTGGAATCTCTTCACCGTCACTTCATCTTCAATCCGGGCCACCACAATCTGTCCGTTAGTGGCCTGTTGGGTCTTATGTACAGCAAGTAAGTCGCCATCGAGGATGCCTGCATCAATCATGCTGTCTCCACGGACGCGGAGCAGGTAGTCAGCCCGCGGCTGAAAGAATCCTGCCGGCATATCTACCCGATCTTCGATGTTCTCTTCAGCCAGAATAGGATTACCCGCAGCAACCCGACCTACCAATGGAATACCCGCCTCGATATCTTCTGGCAGACGAATGCCCCTGGATGTTCCGGGAATCATCTCAATGGCGCCTTTGCGCGCCAGGGCTTTTAAGTGTTCTTCGGCCGCATTGGGCGAGCGGAAACCAAGCTCCTGGGCAATATCTGCCCGGGTGGGTGGATAACCGGTATCAATAATGTGTTGGCGGATCAACTCCAACACCTGAGACTGACGAGGCGTTAAACTCTGCATAAATATCCCTGTTTAAACATACAGTAGGCTGTCAGTATATACAGTGCTTTGTATATTTGCACAGTGTTTTTTTTCCCCTTAGTATCCGCGCCCCGGCTTCAATAAAGTGATACATACTTTGAAGGCTATGTTGACTGGGCTCTTGCTGGCACTAATCCTGCCGGTAACGGGTGCAACTAAAACGGTAGATTCCCTGGCTGCAGCGCAAGCAAGAGGCTTGCAGATATTCACCGAAGCAGACCAGCGTCAGAGCGGATACGGCGACATGGAAGTGGCGTTGAAGATGATTCTGCGTACTGCGAAAGGCACGGAAACCGAACGAAATTTGAGCATCCGTCAGATGGAGATGCCCGCTGACGGCGATCGCGTGCTGATAGAGTTTGAGAGCCCCGCAGATATCCGCGGCACGGCTTTGCTCAGCCATGCTCACAAAACCGCAGACGATGACCAATGGCTGTTTTTGCCCGCGTTACGGCGGGTTAAAAAAGTGGCTCTGCGCAACCGCAACGGCGCCTTTCTCGGCAGCGAATTCACATTTGAAGATCTCGCCGTTCCAGAACTCGAAAAATACGATTATCTTTACCTGCGCGATGATGTTCTCGATGGCTTGCCTGTTTATGTTGTGCAGCGCATCGCCCGCAGTAAGTATTCAGGCTACAGCAGGGAAGTGTTCTGGATTGATCAGGCGCATCTGCGCGCTCAGCAGGTTGAATACTTTGACGAGGATAAACGACAGACGAAGTTACTTCGTTTCAGCCAATACACGCTTTATGCGGACCGTTTCTGGAAAGCGGGTTATATGTCGATGCAGAACCTCGAGACAGGAAAAAGCACGGACCTTGTCTGGCAGAACTATCGCTTCGGCAGAGGTTTTCAACCTGAGCGGGATTTCAGCATCAATACCCTGCGTCGGATCAGGTAACGTGTTGCTGCGTGCTCTGAGCCTGTGTCTGGCGCTGTTGTGCAGCTTTGAGCTGCATGCCGACCAATTGGTGTTCGGTAGCTTTAAATCCGCTGTAAACGCGCAGAACTGGGCGCAAAAGCTCAGTGCTCAGTTTGATCTGTCCATTGTTGTTGAACCGATTGTGATCGAAGACGAGGACCGTTATCGCGTGCAGAGTGAAGCGCTTACAGAAGCCGCCTTTCTGGCGCTTCGGCGACGCGCGGATGCAGCAGGTGTGACCTATTGGCGTTTGTATGCGGGCGTTGAAGAGGTCGATGCAGACAGTCGCAGCGTCTCCTCAATACGCACCACACCGCAGCTAGGTGCTGCACGTCTGCAACCACCCAGCCCGGTTGAGGCGCCGGCAGCGCTTGGCATTCCCAGAGCACAAAGTGGCGCACCAGCGCCAGCAGCACAGACCACCGTTACCACGCACACTTCGTCCCTCACCGAAGCGGACCTGCCGACAGGTCCTCAAGCTGATATACAATGGGATCTCGGTCTGCAGACCCGCTCATTTTTCAACGAAGGGACCTTTGGTCAGGATCGATTTGAAGCCAGTGTCAGCGTTGAATTTCAATACTATCGCGGCTGGCAGAACGATCGACGCAGCATAACCCTGAGTCCGTTTCTGCGTGTCGACAGTGCGGATTCGCAGCGCACCCATGCGGATCTGCGAGAATTTTTCTTCAGCTCCGTTGGTGACAGCTGGGACCTGCACATCGGCGCAAAACGTGTTTTCTGGGGCGTCACGGAATTCCATCATCTGGTTGATATTGTTAACCAGACCGATCTGGTGGAGAACCTCGATACAGAAGACAAGCTGGGGCAGCCTATGGTGCACCTGTCGCTGATCCGCGACTGGGGTGTGTTGGACCTCATGTTACTCACCGGTTTCAGAGAGCGTACTTTCCCCGGACCCGATGGTCGACTGCGTGTGCCATTCAAGATCCTGGATAATGCAGAGTATGAATCCGGCGCCGAGCAGTTACGTACCGACGTGGCTGTGCGTTGGTCACACTATCTCGGACCATTTGAAGTGGGTGTACACCATTTTTCAGGCACCGGACGTGATCCGTCGTTTATTCCTCTTGTGGCGCCAGACAACGACGTTGTGCTGCAACCTTTTTATCCTGTGATTGACCAGACCGGCATTGATGCTCAGATGTTCCTGGGTGACTGGGCTTTCAAATTTGAAGGACTGTCACGTTCCGGCCAGGGTGACCGATATGCTGCCGCGAACCTGGGCTTTGAACGCACCTTTGTGAAGGTTTTCGATACCGGTGCAGATTTTGGCCTGATTGGCGAATATCTGTATGACGAGCGGGGTGACGAGGCTTTTAATACGCTCTTCGAAAATGATATCGCCCTCGGCGGACGACTCAGTCTGAATGACTTTGCTGATACCAAAGCTCTGCTTGGCGTCATTGTTGATGCCAACAATGACGACTACCTGGTCACACTGGAAGCCTCACGTCGATTAACCAACAGCTGGCTGCTCAGTATCGAAGGGCGCTTTTTCGCCGGCGGCAACAGTCTGCCATCAGATGCGCCCCCACAGGACGTACTTGACCCTCGTAACAAGACAGCATGGCTGCAGGAAGATGATTATCTGCAGGTGGAATTTAAAAAGTTTTTCTAACTCACCCTCAGCGCGATAGACTGCCGTCATGAATGAGTTTGTGACCTACATAGAAGAGCATTTCTGGATGCTTGAGGTGTTCCTGATTGTGCTCGGCACGGGCTTTGTGCACCTGTTTGTTAAGCTTGCGCTCAACCGGATCGGCCATCAGTTAGACAAAACCCATAACCTGTATGACGATGCGCTGCTTGAGGCAGGGCGCAAACCGTTAAGCTGGGCGATATGGATTATCGGCGTATCCATGGCTGCCGAAGTTGTCGGCGGTGCGGCTGCTGCTGAAATATTTGATCAGGTGGCTACGGTTAGAGATGTTGCGGTTGTCTGGCTGCTGGTCTGGTTTGCGATTCGCTTTATCCATTACATCGAAGAGCATATTGTTATCGGCCGGGAAGGGGAGCCGAAGGTTGATCTGACCACGGCACGTGCAGTAGGCAAACTGTTACGCGCCTCTGTTCTGATCACCGGCGTACTGCTGGTGTTACAGGCCTTTGGTTTCTCGATTTCAGGTGTGCTGGCCTTCGGTGGTATTGGCGGCATCGCGGTAGGATTTGCCGCGCGCGACCTGCTGGCGAACTTTTTTGGCGCGATCATGGTGTTTCTGGATAGACCGTTTTCAGTCGGAGACTGGGTGCGCTCTCCGGATCGAGACATCGAAGGTACGGTTGAAGAAATTGGCTGGCGTCTAACCCGTATCCGCACCTTCGATAAACGGCCGGTTTATATTCCCAACGCCATTTTCACCAGCATTGTGGTGGAGAATCCCTCGCGTATGCTGAATCGGCGAATCTATGAAAATATTGGCATTCGCTACGATGACATAGGTGTGATGAAGCCGATTGTGGATGAGGTTAAAACCATGCTGAAAAACCACCAAGAGATAGATACGAGCGTCACTCTGATGGTCAACTTCGTCGAATTTGGCCCGTCTTCGCTGGATTTCTTTGTCTACTGCTTCACCAAGACCACTGTATGGTCGGAATTTCACGAGGTTAAACAAGACGTATTGCTGAAGATTGCACAGATCATCGAAGCCCATGGTGCAGAGATTGCTTTTCCTACTCAGACATTGCACCTGGCCGCTGAGCCAGACGTGCTCGCAGCGAATGTATCGGCACATTAGGTGACTGAAGAACAACAGGCGCTGTCCCAGTCGAGTTTGATAAGAGCCGATCTGAATAAACGATTGAGCTCCGCCACACTGCAATACTCGCACACTGATATTGAACGAGCCCTGGATCAGCTGAGTGTTGAAGTAACCGTGGCCTTTCAAGATCAAACGCCACAATGTATCTGTGTGCTGCCAGATGGATTCATGTTCGCCGGCATGTTATTGCGCCGCCTGATCTTTCCACTAACCATCTATACTGCGAACCAGCCACCTGCGCAACCGGTTGGAGAAGTACTGGATTTATCACGTCCGATACTGCTGCTGGGTGCTGAGATTGGGCAGCCATCATATATGCCCTGGCTGGATTGGCTGGCACCAGGAGCCGTCACCTGTATTGCGATGCTACAGGCATCAGAACCACAATCCTGCACCACTTATGCGGCTTTGCCTGCATTGGCGGGTGAAAAAGTGGGCTGTGGATTCCAGCTTGAAGGCTATGCCGCCAACTGGGGTGGGTTATACCTGCTTGACAATGATCTATCTTAAAACCTGAATCGAACTGACCAACAGGAGTTTTTTATGCCACGTATCGGTGTTTATGTCGGGTCTTCCCCATTACCCATGACTGCAGAGCCTCTCTCGGTGAAGCTGCAGACCCCATGGGGTGACGCATCCGCTGCGCCGCGTAAATATGTTGTTGGGGATTATGAGTATCTGGTGCTGCCCAGACACGGTGAACAGCACGAGTTTGCGCCGCATCAGATAAACTACCGCGCCAACATCTGGTTGATGCACAGTCTTGAGGTGGACGGGCTGTTAGGCACCTATACCGTGGGCAGCGTAGATCCGGCTTTAACCGTAGGCCAGCTTGTTGTGCCCGATCAGCTGATCGACTACAGCTGGGGGCGCGAGAGCACATTTGATGACCAGCTCAGGCACATCGAATTCACCGAACCGTACGATAAAGCACTTCGACAGGCATTGCTGCGGGCAGACAAATCGTTGTTTGATGGCGGCGTTTACGCGTGCACCCAGGGCCCGCGGCTTGAAACCGCCGCAGAAATTAAGCGTTTAGCACAAGACGGTGCAACTCTGGTTGGAATGACCGGCATGCCTGAAACAGCACTGGCGCGAGAACTTGAGATCCCTTTTGCGCCTTTGTGCCTGGTCGTAAACCCGGCAGCGGGTGTTTCTGATGACGTCATTGATATGCAGGCGCTGAAGGAAATCTCAGCCACCGGCGGTGCTCGCATGGTCGAGGTGTTAAATCAGCTAGCCGCCTGATTCAAGCTGTTGCCAGTCATCCACTAGATTCTGAGGCAGAGCCACAGGTTCTATGATGAGCAGCACGCCAAACTTTGGATGGTCAAGGTAGTGCAGATCACCACTGCGCAGGCGTCGACTTTCCTTCAGTTCCATATAGGGCTCCGGCGCCACAGGATCAAGCCTGCTTTCATAAGTGGGATTAAACGGCACCATGACAGGTTCCGCGCCTAGAGTGTCGGCGTGGTACCAGAGAGTTGTGGCAAAGTGCAGATAGCGACTGACCGTAACGTCTATAAAGCCCTCAATGCGCGGATACCCTGTGACGGTTGCAGGGCTGCGCTGATCTATGGGCAGGTTTATGTAGATAGGTTGTGGCACGTCCCGGGCGGGCACCGGCTGGCGCCAGCGTTTGTGTATCAGCGGACGAAGCGTGCGCTGGCGGTTGATTGCCTTTATGTCCTCACCAAAGGCTGTGGTTGGCAGCCATGTGTAGCTGCTGGCAAACAGGCTCTGTTCAATCGCTTCTATTTCTGTGATCAATCGGTCGCGGGCAGTCGGCGCTAGTGCTGGTGCATTGACCGGCACATCAGCCAGCTCAGTTTCAGGTTGTTGTTGCGACAGATCACCTGGCATCTGCGCATCGAGCGTTTCACTTTCTTCGACGACAACTCCCGAGCGGTCATCCCCAAAACTGTTGTTTTTGGTAAACAGCGGATGTTCAGGATCCTCCTCGCGCAACTGCGGATACCCCAGGCAGAATGGGCTGGGTGCCAGGAGTTCAGACAGGCTCAGGCTGGGGGCCTGGGTCAATGCAGCTGGATCTATCACCTCAAGCAGGTTGCCTGGCCAGCTGCGTGGTTGGCGCAGAGTTAGCTTTTCGTCAACATTGACATCCAGAACGTCAAGGCGTTCAAACACCAGGATTTCGATTTCGAACCAGCGCGCCTGCATCTGGTCTTCAATATCTGCGGCATGCACGGCAGCACTCAGCAGCGCAACGGTGAGGACAGCTGTCATTTGTTTCATGTTCATGCGGCCGCCTCTATGTCGGGCATCAGATCAGTTAACAGACTCTGTGCAAAGGCTACACGTTGATCAAACTCAGGCAGGTCCTGAATTACACGCAGGACTGCAGCGCCTTCCATTTTGTAACTGTTCGGCTGTTGTTGTACCAGATTGACAATCTTGATGGGGTCAACCTTCGTCGCCTGATTGAATTCCAGTTTGCCGCGTTCCGGGCCGATATCAAGTTTCGCTAAACCCAGCGCCTGACTGGCTATTTTCAAACCTGTTACGGCAAACAGGCGTTTCAATGGCAATGGCAAAAGGCCAAACCTGTCGATAATTTCAACCTGCAGATCATCAAGCTGACGCTGTGTTTTAGCCGCGCTGATGCGTTTATAGAGAATCAGGCGCGTGTGTACATCCGGCAGATAATCTTCTGGAATCAGGGTCGCCGCATGCAGGTTCACTTCCTGACTCACAGGCTCAAGCGGGCTGTCCACATTAGGCGACTGACCGGCACGCATGGCAGACACCGCGCGTTCCAGCAGTTCCATGTATAGCGAAAAGCCGATGGACTCAATCTGGCCGGACTGGTCATCACCCAGAAGCTCGCCAGCGCCGCGGATTTCCATGTCATGTGTGGCCAGCGTGAAACCGATACCTAATTCACCCGAAGCTTCGATGGCATCAAGGCGTTTTTTAGCATCAGCGGTCATAGATTTGGGGTGCGGGGTTAACAAATAGGCATACGCCTGGCGGTGACTGCGACCAACCCGTCCCCGAAGCTGGTGCAGCTGTGCCAATCCAAATTTGTCAGCACGTTCAATAATGATGGTATTGGCATTGGGCACGTCCAGACCCGTTTCAATAATTGTTGTGCAAACCAGCACATTCAGGCGGCGATGGTAGAAATCTGACATGACCTGCTCCAGGTCTCTTTTCGGCATCTGTCCGTGGCCTATGCCGATACGCGCTTCAGGCACCAGTTCAGCAATTTCCTCTGCAGCGGCTTCGATATTGCGCACTTCGTTGTGCAGCAGAAAAACCTGGCCGCCCCGAGCGAGCTCACGGCTGATGGCTTCTTTGATCTGGTGTTTGTGTTTCTGTTGAACAAACGTTTTTATCGACAGACGTTTAGCCGGCGGGGTCGCGATAATCGACAAATCCCGTATACCTGACAGGGACATATTCAGCGTTCGTGGTATAGGCGTCGCCGTCAGTGTGAGAATATCAACTTCCGCACGCATGGCTTTGAGACGTTCTTTCTGACGGACTCCGAAGCGATGTTCTTCGTCTATTACAATAAGACCGAGGTTTTTAAACTGGAAGTCATCTGACAGCAGCTTGTGCGTGCCGATCAGAATGTCGAGCTTGCCGCTGCGCAGCCTTTGCGTGATTTCACCGATCTCGGCAGTAGATCGCAGTCGGCTGACGCCTTCCACAGTGACAGGCCAGCCGGCAAACCGATCGCGAAAACTGTCTTCATGCTGCTGGGCAAGCAGGGTAGTGGGTACCAGCACAGCAACCTGTTTACCATTTTGCACAGCAACAAAAGCGGCCCGCATGGCCACTTCAGTTTTACCGAAGCCAACATCACCGCAGATCAGGCGATCCATCGCCCGCAGGGTGGTCATATCTGTCAGTGTGTCTTCGATCGCGCGTTGCTGGTCGAGGGTTACTTCGAAAGGAAATTCGTTGGCAAACCTGTCGTACTCAGCTTGATTCAGCTCAAATTGAAAAGAAGTTCGCAGCTCGCGGCGTGCGTATATGTCGAGCAGTTCCGCAGCGACATCGACAACTTTTTCGGCGGCTTTACGTTTCGCCTTTTCCCACTGGTCGGAACCCAGCCGATGGAGTGGGGCATGCCCTTCGTCACTGCCGGAATAGCGACTGATCAGATGCAGAGAGGTAACGGGTACGTAAAGTTTCGCATCGTCTGCATAAATCAGGGTAAGAAATTCGTGTGGATCCTGGTCGATGGTCAGTATCTGCAGCCCGACGTATCTGCCGACACCGTGCTCAATGTGCACAACCGGCGCGCCAATGGTCAGCTCGGTAAGATTTCTGACCAACAGGTCCGGATCAATAACCTTTGCACCGGCGTCCCTGCGCGGATCTGTTTGTCGGGAGCCCAGCACATCTGCTTCGGTGATAATGACTGCGCCATCGACGTACAGGCCCTCATCCAGCTCTGCCACGCTGATACAGTGCTCACTTGCCTGCTGGTAACTGGCAAAGTCGCTGACCACCTGGGTCCGAATGCCGGCTTTGCGCAGCAATTCATCAAATACTTCGCGACGGCCGGCAGACTCCGCAACAAACAGAATCGGCTGCTGTACGTGCTCTACAAAACGCTTCAATTTCTCGGCAGGATCTTTCGTCCGGGGATTGAACGTCAGCTCCGGCAATTTCTGGCTGGTGAAAAACTGGCCGTGTTTACCAGGTGATGTGCTGAGGTTAATGCGCGGCAAAGTGTTCAGATGACCGTGCAACTCATCCATCGCCATGAAAAGTTCCCGCGGCGGCAGAATAGGGCGCTCTATATCATGCCGCAGCGATTCGTAACGAAGCTCGGTGTCCTCAATCTGATGCTGTGCCGCCTCGACGACACCTTCCTCCACAACCAGCAACACATTATCCGGAAGGTAGTCAAACAGAGTGCCTAAGTGCTCAAAGAAAAACGGCAGATAGTATTCAACCCCGTTGGGCACGATGCCGCTGGACACATCCTGATAAACACTACATCTACGGACATCAACGTTAAACGTGTTGTGCCACTGGTCGCGAAAGCGCGCTATCGCCGCATCATTAAAGGGAAATTCCTTTGCAGGCAGCAGGTCTAATCGGTCAATTTTATTTATGGTTCGCTGGGTATCCGGGTCGAAGGTGCGCAGCGTATCTATTTCGTCATCAAACAGATCCAGACGTACCGGCAGTTCGCTGCCCATCGGATAGATGTCCAGTACAGATCCACGCACAGCATACTGGCCCCGTTCGCTTACGGTATCTACATTCTGATATCCGGCAGAGTCCAGCGCACGTCGCTGGGTTGCAATGTCTAACCTTTGCCCGGGCTGAAAGTCGAAACCTGAGCCGGCAATATAGCTGGGTGGCGAGATTCGTTGTAACAGGGTGGTTACAGGCACTGTGAGCACCCCGGTGCTGACATTCGGCAGATCACGTAACGTAGCAAGCCGCTCGGAGGTGATGTCCTGATGAGGCGAGAACGCATCATAGGCCAGCGTTTCCCAGTCGGGGAAGTGTAATGGCGTGTTTGCGGGGTCTGAAAACAGTGATAACGCACTCTGCCAACGTTGTGCGCGTGCCGAATTAGCAGTGACTACCAGTACCAGACCTGGCTGAGCTGTGCTGATCCGGGTAACCGCCAGCGCATCGGCCAGACCGTGCAGATTGGACCAGGTAACCTGCTGTCCAGGTTGTGCAGGGCGTTGTACGTCGCCGGCAAGCCCAGGCGCGATAGATGAGGCGGTAACAGCAGTTGTCAAAGCGTGTCCGTTTGCAGATAGTTCAGGGCGTTCGAAAGGCGCTATTCTAACCACTCAACAAGGTGCTGTGGCGATGTCAGGTAGAGGAATTCAAATATTTTTAGCACTTGCTGCCATGACGGTCGTCTATGCCATTGGTTTCTGGCAGGGTTCTTTGCGCGCCTCATCATCGATGGTGATGCCAACCCCAGATATTCCCTCATCGACGACAACATCAGCTGTCGGTTCAGCCAGACAGCCCGAGCAAATTCCAGTCGCTGATGCTACTGACGTGTTTTACGAACTTCTTGAAAACGGCGCCTGGTTTCAGCTGGAAAGGTGGTTTGATGAGCATGCACAGAGCGTAAGCACCGAGCAGGGCGTCGCGTTGGTTAACTCGATGTCCAGGCAGGTCAACAAATACGATGCTCTGGCGATGCGTAGCGTATTGCGCGCTTATCTTGATGTGCGCGTTGATGATATCGATGCGTTGTTCCTGTTGAGCGACTTACAGCAGGTCAGTGGGCTGCGGGAAGGTGCGCTGGAAACCCTGTTTGGTCTGCTTGCGCAACCCGTTCAACCCCAACAGTACGACCAGGCAAAGCGTGCTGCCGAACAGATTATCAACGTTATCGACAACGAACTGCGCACCCGTGGCGCGCTGGCAGAGCGGGCCGCTTTCTGGCAACACGTCAGTCTGCGCCTGCCCGCCAGCGATCTGTTCCGTTACCAGTGGGCGCGCGCGCTGGCTCAATACGAACAGCATGACGAGGCGCTTCGGATACTTGCTCAAACCGGCACAAGCGATGTCTCTCAAGATGAACTCGATACGCTGGAAGAACAGATTCTGCTTGCCCAGACGACGGTTCAGTTTCAAAAAGATGGCGATCGCCTGCTGTCCATCGCCAGTGCGCCAACCGGTCTTGCGGTGACATTGCTGGTAGATACAGGCGCTAATATCACCAGCCTGACCAAATCAGCACTGCGTTCGTTAGCCGCACGGCGCCTGCCTCAGGAAGCCTCAGTGAGAACCGCCGGCGGGCTGGTGACAACAGGCGTCTACAACGTGCCTGAAATTCGTGTGGAAGGGCGCCTGTTCACCGACCTGAGAGTACTGGAACTGCCCATCAATCTACCTGGTATCGACGGCCTGCTTGGCACTGATTTATTGAACCAGCTGGCGGTTGATCCTTTGAGCCTGCACACCCGGTAACTGGTGTCGCAGATCGCTGTGGATAAGCTGTGGATAAACTCAGTGGTGCGCCGCCATAACCACCGTTAAAGCCAGTTGCACCGGGGAATTGTCAAACACTAGCCAGCGCACGTGTAAAACAGTTAAAGTCTCGCCACGCCAAAAAAAGAAGCCATCAACGAGCACAGACAATGCAACCCACTGACATCTCAGACCCGCAGTATTTTCACAAAGTTGTCGATTGCCAGTACGCTTGCCCAGCGCATACCCCGGTACCCGAATACATCCGCCTGATAGCTCAGGAGCGATACACAGAAGCCTACATGCTGAATTGGGATTCCAACGTTTTCCCCGGCATTCTAGGCCGCACCTGCGATCGCCCCTGCGAACCCGCTTGTCGACGCGTTCGCACAGAAGAAAAACCCGTTGCCATCTGCCGTCTCAAACGAGTTGCGGCAGACAATAAAGGGGACATCTCTGCTTACATGCCACGCGTACCCACGCAGAAAAACGGCAAACGTATCGCGTTGATCGGTGCAGGCCCGGCTTCACTTGCCGTCGCTCGAGATCTGCTGCCCCTGGGTTACGAGGTACACCTTTTCGAGAAGGAAAGTAAAGGTGGCGGCTTCATGCGTAGTCAGATCCCGGCTTTTCGACTGCCAGTTGAAGTACTGGATGAAGAAGTTGAACAGATTCTCGATATGGGGGTGGAATGCCACTTCGGTCATGAAATCACCAGTATGAAGAGCATGCTGGATATGGACTTCGACGCCTATTTTGTTGGCACCGGAGCGCCTCGTGGCAGAGACCTGGAACTCCCGGGTCGGGATGCCGTAGATGATCACATCCACATCGGCATTGATTGGCTGTCGAGCGTGGCGTTTGGTCACACCACAGAGATCAAAGGCAAAGTCATTGTTATGGGTGGTGGTAATACCGCCATGGACTGCTGTCGCACCTCTCTGCGCATGGGCGCTGAATCAGTGAGTGTCGTGGTCCGTTCTGCTTTCGAAGTCATGAAAGCCTCGGAGTGGGAAAAAGAAGATGCCATGCGGGAGGGCATTCCGATCATCAACAATCGTCCCCCGAAAGAATTTGTGCACGAAAACGGCAAACTGAAAGGGGTGCTGTTCGAGTGCGTGGAGCCGGTCAAAGGCGATGACGGCCGACTCAAGTACGTCCCCAGCGGCGAGCCTGACGTCTTCATCGAAGCTGACCATATTCTGATGGCTATCGGCCAGGACAACCACTGTCCCTGGATTGAACGCGACCTCGGTATGGAGTTTGATAAATGGGATTGTCCGGTGCTGGACGAAGTCACCTTGCAGTCCACCCATCCGAAAGTATTTTTTGGTGGCGACAGCGCATTTGGTCCGGAAAACATCATCTGGGCCTCAGCACATGCACACCAGGCAGCCATCAGCATCCACCTTTTGTGCGAAGGCAAGGATCTGAAGAAAGACCGGCCACCCCAGGGCGTTAATCTCCTGTCTACGAAGATGGGTGTTCACGAATGGGCCTATGATGCTGAATATGATGCATCCGCGCGCTACGCCGTCCCTCTGGTGGAGAAACAATCGGCGTTATCCAATTACAAAGTTGAAGTCGAACTGGGATTTGACCAGGAACTCGGTGCAGCGGAAGCACAGCGTTGTCTGAACTGTGATGTGCAGACAGTGTTTACCGACAAACTGTGTATCGAGTGTGACGCTTGTGTCGACATCTGTCCTATGGATTGCATTACCTTTATAGAAAAGGCGCCGGAGCAGGAACTTCGCCAGCGGCTCACTGCACCGGCACTGAATATGGAGCAGGATTTATATCTGTCTGATGAGTTACCCACGGGGAGGGTGATGGTGAAAGACGAAGATGTCTGTTTGCACTGCGGCCTGTGCGCGGAACGATGTCCCACTAATGCATGGGATATGCAGCGCTCTGTTGTGCATATTCCCCAACTAGGATCTTATGCAGAATGAGTGTCAGCTATAACGATTTTGTTATCCGTTTCGCCAACGTAAATGGCTCGGGTTCAGCCAGCGCAAACGGTATGTTTGCCAAAGCACTGTTCCGCATGGGCATACCGGTTGCGACACGTAATATCTTCCCTTCGAATATCCAGGGGCTGCCGACCTGGTTTGAAGTCAGAGTCAGCGAAGCTGGTTATATGGGCCGTCGGGAAGGTGTCGACATCATGGTGCCGATGAATGCTGAGACCCTGGTGGAAGATATTGCTTCAGTCAAACCTGGCGGATATCTGGTTTACGACAACTCCAAGCCGCTGCCCAAACATCTGCGACGGGATGATATCCATGAAGTGGGTATTCCCATTGCCACTATGTTGTTGCCTGAATTCAGCGATCCGAAACAACGCAGCCTGTTTAAAAACATCACTTATCTCGGCGCGCTGGCCGGCTTGTTAAATATCGAGTTTGATGTCATCACCGGCATGGTGGCGACGCAATACAAAGGTAAAGACACACTCATCGCACCCAACATACGCGCGCTGGAAATCGGCCGTCAGTATGCTTACGACTACCTGGAGGCGCCGTTGCCGATACAGGTACGCCGATCCGACAAAGTTGGCGATCGCATCATGGTTGACGGTAATGCTGCTGCCGGCCTTGGATCTATCTATGGCGGCGCCACAGTCTGTGCCTGGTACCCAATCACACCGTCAACGTCGGTGGCAGAAGCTTTTGAGCAACATGCCAATCGTCTGCGCATCGACGCTGAAACCGGACAGAAGAAATTTGCCATTATTCAGGCCGAAGATGAACTTGCAGCGATCGGTATTGTGATTGGTGCTGCCTGGAATGGCGCTCGATCATTCACCGCGACCAGCGGCCCGGGTGTTTCGCTGATGTCCGAATTCCTCGGGTTGGCGTACTTTGCTGAAATTCCTGCAGTTTTATGGGATATCCAACGTGCAGGGCCTTCCACAGGCATGCCGACACGCACCCAGCAGAGCGACGTGTTGTCTGCCGCATTTGCCTCTCATGGCGACACCAAGCATCCACTGCTGTTCCCCTCCACGCCGAAAGAATGTTTTGATTTTGCCGCGGAAGCATTGGATCTGGCCGACAGACTGCAGACACCTATTATCATTCTGTCTGACCTTGAACTGGGCATGAATGACAACTTAAGCGAACCGTTTGTATGGGACGAAAATCGAAATTACGATCGCGGTAAAGTCCTCACTGCAGACGATCTTGATCAGTTGGATGTGTTTGGTCGGTATCTTGATGTGGATGGTGATGGCATCGGCTATCGAACCTATCCGGGCACGCATCCGGACAAAGGTGCGTTTTTCACCCGCGGCACGTCGCGGGATGAATTTGCCGCGTATACCGAATCCCCTGATGCGTACCAGCGCAATATGGAACGCTTGCTGAAAAAATGGGATACCGCAAAAACTCTGGTGCCAGCAGCGGAAATCAGCACAGGCAAGAGCCGGGTAGGGGTGCTTTATTACGGCACAACAGCACTGCCGATGCCTGAGGCTCTGGATCTGCTGCAACCCGAAGGCGTGGTTCTGGACACCTGCCGAATCCGCGCCTTTCCATTTGGCGAAGAGGTAACATCGTTTATCGACGATCACGACGTGGTGTTTGTGGTTGAGCAGAACAGGGATGCTCAGATGCGCACCCTGTTGATTACCGAAGGCGATTTCTCGCCTGCTAAACTGGTGCGTGTGAACTACTATGCCGGACTGTCAATCTCGGCAGACTTTATTCAACAAAACATTCTGGAATATTTTCAGGAAAATAAATTACCGCGTTTAACTGAGGTGAAATCATGACCTTCGTCGCCAAACCTAAGGCACATCACCCGAATCTGCCGCTGAACGAAATCGGCCTTACCCGGCGTGATTATGAAGGCTCGGTGTCTACCCTGTGCGCTGGGTGCGGGCACGATTCGGTCAGCGCTGCGATCGTACAGGCCTGTGCTGAGCTGTCGCTGCCGCCGCATCGATTTGCCAAAGTATCAGGTATCGGTTGTTCTTCCAAAACACCCAGCTATTTTCTGAACAAATCACACGGCCTTAATTCAGTCCACGGTCGTATGCCGTCGGTCATGACAGGGTCAAATCTTGCCAATCGTGAGCTGTATTGTGTTGGCGTATCTGGTGATGGAGACAGCGCCTCTATTGGTCTTGGACAGTTTGCACACATCGTGCGTCGTCGCATCAATATGCTCTATATTGTTGATAACAATGGTACTTATGGGCTCACTAAAGGCCAGTTTTCCGCCACCAATGACAAAGGCTCCACATCCAAAAAAGGTGCCCCGAACCTTTATGAACCCATAGACCTGGTCAGCATGGCGTTGCAGCTGGGGGCAACCTTTGTGGCGCGCAGCTTCTCTGGCGACAAGCACCAGTTGGTGCCTTTGATCAAGGCCGGTTTGCGCCACAAGGGCATGGCGTTTATCGACGTTATTTCGCCTTGCGTGGCGTTTAACAACCACGCGGGATCTACAAAAAGCTACGACCACGTGCGCTCGCATATGCAGAATGTGGTGAATGCGGATTACATCCCCGAACATGATGAAATCACTGCTGACTACAAACCCGGCAGCAAAGAAGATATCAGCATGCCGGATGGATCCACGCTGCGTCTTTACAAACTTGACGACCAGTATGACCCTCACGACAGGGTTGGCGCGTTGAATTATGTGCAGCGCAGCGCCGAAACTGGAGACGTCGTCACAGGGCTGCTCTACGTAGATCCAAAAGCATCAGATTGCCATGATGTTATGGATACGATTCAGAGACCGTTGAATCAGCTCAATGAAGCGGATTTGTGCCCCGGCCAAGCCTCACTGGATGCAATCAACGCAGGTTTCCGATAACTCCAGCAGATTTTTGCAACTTGCTCACATCTTGGTGACCAAAATAGCGCTCACCAAGGTTGCTCGGGCGCAGCCAGTCTCTATAATGGCGCCCGCTAACCCCCGCCTGACAAACTAACCGAAGAGGACGCGACGTGGCGCTACCCACCCTCGAAGATTACTTCCCCGATTGGAAAGAACGTGAAGCCCTGGCTGAAGCGATGATTCCCTTAATTGGCCAACTCTACCGGCGCAATGTGGTGTGTTACTGCTTTGGTCGTGCAATGTATAACCAGAGCGTGACACAGCTGATGAAAACTCATCGCTATGTACGCCAGATAGCCAACAACGAACTGTCTGAATTCGAGAGTTTTCCAGTCCTCGAAGCCATGTCAAAACTTGACCTTGGCCCCAGCCATATAGACGTGGGGCGCCTGGCGACCAAATACATGGAAGAGCTGGAAGCAGGTGAAGTATCAGCAACGATGTTTGTCGAAAGAGAATGTGCTGAAGTCATTGGTCGGCATGTACCCCCTTTACCACAACCCCAGGATATCGTGTTGTACGGCTTTGGCCGTATCGGTCGGCTGCTGGCGCGTTTGCTAATCGAAAAGACGGGCAGCGGGCAGCAGTTACGGCTGCGCGCTATTGTAGTTCGTAAAGGCAGCGATGACGATCTTATCAAGCGCGCAAGCCTGTTGCGCCGCGACTCGGTTCACGGCAGCTTTGAAGGCACCATTCGGGTTGATGAAGAAAACAGCGCTATTATTGCCAACGGTAACGTCATACGCGTGATTTACGCAGGTAACCCGGCAGAAATCGACTATGAATCTTTCGGCATACACAATGCCGTGATCATAGACAACACCGGTGCATGGCGAGATCAGGAGGGCCTGGGGCAACACCTGAAAGCAAAAGGCGCAGCCAAAGTTGTGCTCACTGCACCAGGCAAGGGTGCCATCAAAAACATCGTGTCCGGGGTTAACTCCAACATCGTTGATAAAGACGACACAATTCTCGGCGCCGCGAGCTGCACAACCAACGCCATTGTGCCCGTGTTGAAGGTTGTTAATGAACATTTCGAGATCGTTAACGGCCACATGGAAACTGTGCACGCCTATACTAACGATCAGAACCTGACCGACAATTACCATAAGAAAAATCGACGCGGACGCAGTGCACCGTTGAACATGGTGATTACGGAGACGGGTGCTTCATCTGCGGTTGTCAAGCTGATGCCCGAGATGGAAGGCAAACTGACCGGTAACGCGATTCGCGTACCGACCCCCAACGTATCGCTGGCCATCCTCAACCTGACACTGGGTCGTGAAACCACGGCTGAAGAGATGTCAGAATTTTTACGTGACGTCAGCCTGAACAGTAACCTGCAGCGCCAGATTGACTACACGACATCGCCGGATGTTGTGTCAACGGACCTGGTTGGTAATCGGCATGCGTGCATTATTGATGGCGAAGCCACTATCGTCAGTGGCAATCGTGCGGTTTTATACGTCTGGTACGACAATGAATTTGGCTATGCCTGTCAGGTGATCCGGGTTGTGCAGAAGTGGTCAGGCATCTCCTATCCATTGATCCCCAACGACGTTTTCAAACTGGGATTCTGATGAAAATGCCGTCTGGCGCAAGCTATAGGACTTTGCAGTGAGCGTCAGAACCCGCATCGCACCATCACCCACTGGCGATCCTCATGTGGGTACCGCCTACATGGCCTTGTTTAACTGGGCCTTTGCCAGACGTCATGGCGGACAGTTTCTGCTACGTATTGAAGACACGGATCAGGCGCGCAGCACCGGAGAGTCTGAGCAGGTCATATTCGATGCGTTACGCTGGCTCAATCTCGATTGGGACGAAGGTCCTGATGTCGGTGGTCCACACGGCCCTTATCGTCAGAGTGAGCGCCGCGAAATCTACGCCCGCTACAGCGAAAAGCTGGTTTCAGGCGGGCATGCGTTTCCCTGTTTCTGCAGTAAAGAGCGTCTGGACCAGGTGCGCAGTGCTCAACAGGCGGCTAAACAAACTACCCGGTATGACGGACACTGCCTGAATCTCGCGCCAGATGACGTGAGCGCGCGTCTGTCGGCGGGCGAAACCCATGTCATTCGTATGTGCGTGCCTGACGAGGGTGAGTGTACATTTAAAGACGAGTTGCGCGGCGAAATCACCATTCCTTACAGTCAGGTTGACATGCAGGTGCTGGTGAAAAGTGACGGCATGCCGACTTATCACCTGGCAGTGGTGGTGGATGACCATCTCATGGGTATTACCCACATCCTGCGTGGTGAAGAGTGGGTGACTTCTGTGCCCAAACACAAGCTCCTGTACGAGTATCTGGGTTGGCAGATGCCGGTGTTGATCCACCTGCCGCTGTTGCGCAACCCTGATCAGAGTAAATTGTCAAAGCGCAAGAATCCCACCAGCGTGACTTATTACCGGGACGAAGGCTTTCTGCCTGAAGCACTGCTCAACTATCTTGGCCTTATGGGCTACTCGATGCCCGATGAACGGGAAATTTTCAGTAAGCAGGACATGCTGGAAGTCTTTGATGAAAGCCGTATTTCAGTTGGCGCACCCATTTTTGACCCGGTAAAACTCGCCTGGTTGAACGGTCAATATCTACGCGCGATGGATGCAGATGAGTATGCCGCTCGTGTTGCATCCTGGATGCTTAACAAAGAGCGCCTGTCAGCTCTGGTGCCGTTGGTACAGGAACGGGCGGAGAAGCTTTCTGACCTCATGCCGCTGGTTGACTACCTTGTTGGGGCCAGAAAAGCGCTCAGCGAAGAAGATTTCCAGCACAAAAGCCTGGAACGCAAAGATGTTGTGCAGGTCTTGCATCACACATTGGCAGAATTTGATAAGCAGCGCAGCTGGGAGCGGGATGAGCTGTTCGAGCTGTGCCAGAAAATGGCCCAGCACCTTGATCTTAAATTCCGCGATTTCCTGTTTCCTCTGTTTATTGCCATCAGCGGCCGCAGCGTGTCATTGCCGCTGTTCGATTCGCTGATTTTCCTGGGGGCTGACTTGTCACGCGCAAGATTAAGAGACGCCCTGGAGGCTTTAAATGTCTCCGGCAAAGAGCGTAAAAAGCTCGATAAAGCCTATACTCAGATACAATTGGGTCCTGATCCTACATAGTAAGTACATCCCTTTATTGACAGGTCGTGGTGGGGTACCTAACATCACGCGCTCGTTTGGGGCCATAGCTCAGCTGGGAGAGCGCGTGAATGGCATTCACGAGGTCGGGAGTTCGATCCTCCCTGGCTCCACCAATTCTAGATACTGCCGGGACTGTGTATGACCGTCGGAATAACCCCCGAAGGCTGGACTTTGGTCGACAATGCCTTGACGCGTAACTTCGCGTTTGATGACTTTGTTGCCGCTTTTGCGTTCATGACCAAGGTTGCATTGCTGGCAGAAAAAGCTGATCACCATCCAAGCTGGCATAACGTCTACAACACGGTCAAAATCAGCTTGAACACCCACGATGCGGGTAATACCGTCACAGACAAAGATATTGCTTTAGCAACTGACATCAATGCCTGCATCGCATAACCATCCATACAGAGAGTACAACAAGGATAACCAATGCCTAAAATCATCTACATAGAACACGATGGAACCGAGCACCAAGTCGACGCCCCAACAGGCACTACGGTGATGAACGCAGCTTTGGACAACCTGGTCCCCGGCATCGATGCAGACTGTGGCGGAGAGTGTTCCTGTGCTACCTGTCACGTCATGGTTGATAAAGCCTGGATGGCAAAAGTAGGTCAGCCCAGCGAAGCTGAAGAATCCATGCTGGATCTTAATCCTGAGCGTGTTGAAAACTCACGTTTATCCTGTCAGATTCCTGTGACCGACGAGCTGGACGGCTTGGTTGTTAACTTACCGGAGTTCCAATTCTAATGGCTGAAGCGACTACCCCTCTGATGGTTGATCTGGATCCCGCAACAGTACCGCTGGAAGACATCGATGTCAGCCAACGTGAGTTGTGGTCGCAGAATAAAAAGTATCCATTTTTCAAACGGTTACGCGATGAAGCGCCAGTACATTATTGTAAAGAAAGTGAATTCGGTCCGTACTGGTCAGTGACGCGTTTTGAAGACATCATGGAAGTTGAGCAGAACTGGCAGAGCTTTTCATCGGATCCGACTATTGTGATACAGGATCCTGAAGAAGATTTTGAACTGCCTATGTTCATCGCCATGGATCCACCCAAACACGATGAGCAACGTAAAACCGTCCAGGGTGTTGTGGCACCGCGTAATCTGCAGAATCTTGAAAGTACAATTCGCAGCCGTGTACAGACTATCCTCGATGATCTACCCATCGGTGAGCAGTTCAACTGGGTTGACCGTGTGTCTATTGAGCTGACCACGCAGATGCTGGCGACGTTGTTTGATTTCCCCTTCGAAGACCGCAGAAAACTGACCCGCTGGTCAGATGTGGCCACGGGTGGCCCGGAGACCGGCATTGTTGAAAGTGAAGAGCAGCGCCGCGAAGAACTCTACGAGTGCCTGGAATACTTCACCCGCCTGTGGCAGGAGCGCGAAGGCAGCGGAGATGGCAACGATCTGATTTCCATGCTGGCCCACGGTGAAGCCACCAAAGACATGGATCCGCAGGAATATCTCGGCAACCTTGTGCTGCTGATTGTGGGGGGTAACGACACCACCCGGAACTCAATTACCGGTGGGGTCATTGCGCTGAATGAAAACCCGGGTGAATACGCCAAGTTGCGCAACAACCCGTCGGTTATTCCCAACATGGTGTCTGAAATCATTCGCTGGGTAACACCATTGGCACACATGCGTCGCACCGCTGTAAAGGACTATGTCCTGCAGGGTCAGCAGATTAAAGCGGGTGACAAACTGGTGATGTGGTATGCCTCTGGCAACCGTGATGAACGCGCGATCGACCGCCCGGATGAGTTTATTATTGATCGTGCCCGCGCGCGCCAGCACTTGTCTTTTGGCTTTGGCATCCATCGCTGTATGGGAAATCGTCTGGCGGAAATGCAGCTGCGTATTCTGTGGGAAGAAATTCAGAAGCGGTTCCACAAAATTGAGATGGTTGGTGAGCCTGAGCGTATACCGTCAAATTTTGTGCATGGCTTTTCTGATTTACAGGTTGTCCTGCATCCGCACTAGTTGAGCAACTTCCGCTGCAAAGGCTGAAGTACTTCAGCTTTAGCGGCTGAAGTTGGCAATCTGAATTTCTTCACCATGATCAGCGTAGTCACCCTGACTACGCTGACTGCGGAAATAACCCCAGTTGATGGCGTTGTACTTCGGCTCCGCCTCGAGCAATGTTGCTGCCAGCGGCGCATAATCATAATCATAATTTGGATTCAGAAAGTAGGGTGTGCTGATGCGCGGCTGATTTGCGTTGGCCAGTACCCGGTGCAAGGGCGCTTGATACCTGTCGTTGGACCAAACCTGCACGATGTCACCAATGTTAATGATCAGCGCGTTTTCGCTGGGTGTAATAGTATGCCAGCAGCTATCTCGATAGACCTGTAATCCCGTCTGTTCATCCTGTAACAAAACAGTTAACGCACCGGCATCAGTATGGTGACTGATGCCCAGCTCTCCTTTCAGCGGAACAAAACCCGCATCCGCTGGCGCAGGGTCAGGACAAGGTCGATAGTAGTTAAGCCGCAGGAAACTGCTGTGATCATCGAAGGCGGTGGTGAGGTCCTCGACACTGCCGAGGGTTGCAGTTATTGATCTGACCAGCTCAAGGGCAATGCTGTGGAAATGGCTTTCAAGCGCCATCATGACTTCCTGAAAACCAGCCTGATCTGGCCACTGCGGAAAAGAACCGGCCAGCGGACCGCTTGTTACTGCAGGACCAATGTCCAGAATCTCTTTCCAATCGCGCCGATTTTTTGTCAACTCCGCATCAAAATAACCCCAGGCGTTATCCGCACTGCGCGCAATTTTCTGCTTTTGTGCGTGGGGTTGCTGGAAAAACCGGGAAGTCTGCGCCATTACCTCCCGAATCAGGTGAGGCGGAATCTGATGCCCGGATAATTTGAAAAACCCCCACTGTGAGCAGGCTTGGTCTAAAGCGACAAGGTCGAGATCTTGCAGGTCTAAGTGCGGGATATTCATACCTCAGAGTTTAAGGAAGTTACACCCAGGCTGCCAAGACATAAGAGGCTTCTGTTAAAGTAAACGACTATAAGGAGGGCAGGTATGGATCTAGGATTAAATAACCGGCGGGCAGTGATTACCGGCGCTTCAAAAGGTATTGGCCTGGCTTGTGCCCAGAGCCTGGCGCGGGAAGGCGCTCATGTACATCTCGTTGCCCGCACCGAATCAGACCTGCAGTCAGCTGTGACCCTGGTAGATCTGTGCGGTCCGGGGCAGGTCAGTTATCAGGCGCTGAATCTGGCGGATTCGCACGATGCTCAAGCGTTGATTGAAGCCCAGGCGGAGGCAGATATTCTCGTCAACAACGCAGGCGCCATTCCAAGCGGCACCCTTTTAGACATCGACGAATCAACCTGGCGCGAGGCCTGGGACCTGAAAGTCTTTGGGTATATCAACCTCTGCCGCGGCTTTTACAGACAGATGAGCGGCCGAGGGGGTGTTATTCTTAACGTCATCGGCGCAGGCGGTGAGCGGCCCACTTCGGGATATGCAGCCGGGGCTGGTGGCAATGCTGCGCTGATGGCTCTGACCCGCGCTTTGGGCGGCACCAGCCGTAAAGACAACATTCGGGTAGTGGGCATCAACCCCGGACAGATTGTCACCGAACGCCTCCAGGATTTGCTCAAAGCCGCGGCAAGCAAACGCTTCAATGATGCCGAGCGCTGGCAGGAACTGCTGGACCCGCGTTACCCGCCGGGGGAGCCCGCGCATATCGCTGATATGGTGGCATTTCTAGCCAGTGATCGTTCAGCCAATACCACCGGCACAATCGTGACCATCGATGGCGGGCATTGCGCGCGCTGACCTGGCCTTGCCTTGCGAGGCTTACTTTCTGGAGACGGCAAAATGCCTTATTTTCAAACCGATGACGCAAAGATCTACTACGAAACCCATGGTTCAGGTTTTCCCCTGCTGTTGATTGCACCCGGGGGCATGAAATCGGCCATCAGTTTCTGGGAAAACACCCCCTGGAATCCAATTGAACAACTGCAGGATAAATTCTGCGTGGTTGCCATGGATCAACGTAATGCCGGCAACAGCAGCGGTCTTGTTGCCGCAGATCATGGCTGGCACACCTATAGCCGGGATCAGCTGGGGTTGATGAGCCACCTGGGATTTGATGAATTCCATGTCGCGGGTATGTGCATAGGTGGACCATATGCATTGGGTCTTATCCAGGCAGCGCCGGAACGGGTTGTCAGCGCTACCTTGTTTCAGACGATAGGTCGGGATAATAACGCCGAGGCGTTTTACGCGATGTTTGATGACTGGGCCGCTACACTGCAGCCGCAGATGGCCGAGGTCCCCGCCGAAGCCTGGGCAGCGTTCCGCGAAAATATGTACGGCGGTGACACCATCCTGTTTAACGTCGACCGCGAATTTGTCGCGAATATAAAAACACCGCTGCTGGTTCTGATGGGCAATGATCTCTATCACCCGGAATCAAGCTCACGCATGATTGCAGCAACCGCACCAAACGTGGTTTTTCTCGAGTCCTGGAAAGCAGGTCAGGCAAAAACTGAAGCGATGCATACGTTTGCTCAATTCCTTGCACAACACACCCCGGAGTAACCTGTGAATCCTGAATCCCTAGCTTTATATGACGCCATGAGTACGCTGCGCGCAGTTCGACGCCTGCGACCTGACCCTATTCCCGATGATGTTCTGCAGCGCATCCTGCAGGCCGCGGCATGGGCGCCAAGTGGAGGTAATGTGCAACCATTTCGAATTATTGTCGCTCGAGATCCGGATATAAGGACCCGGATTGGTGACCTTTATCGGCCTCAATGGGCATCTTACGGCGCCAACGCGCGCAAAGGTCTGGCCAGCCTGGAAGGAGAGGCCAAAGCCAAGCGGGCACGTATGCTTGATGCCTGCGATTACCTCGGAGAACACATGGGTGAAGCACCCGTACTGCTGATATTCTGTTTCAATCCGGATTACATGGCGATCACGGATGCTGACCAGGGCCGTCCCTCAATCGTGGGCGGCGGATCGGTTTATCCAGCTCTGCAGAATGCAATGCTGGCCTGTGTCAGCGAAGGTATAGGCTGCACGTTGACCACTTTGTTGTGTTATGAGGAAGACAAACTCAAACAGATTCTGGCAATGCCCGACGGTTGGTATACGTGTGCGGTCATGCCGATTGGATACCCGGTGCGTGGCGGACATGGTGCGATCTCACGGCGGCCGGTGAACAAGTTGTGTTATGCGGACCAGTTTGGCGAGGAAATCACATTTTCTTAGACACTCAGGTATCTAAGGAGGAGGTTTTAGCCTGTCGCATGTTGTACCATGCCGGGTTTTATTTAGAGAGGAATGCTTATGTCTCTGGTTGCTGTAATGGAAACAAATAAAGGCACTATTCGACTGGACCTGTTTGCAGATAAAACACCGATGACGGTGGCGAATTTTGTAAATCTGGCCCAGCGTGGATTCTACGACGGCCTTGCTTTCCACCGTGTGATCCCTGACTTCATGGTCCAGGGTGGGTGCCCTCAAGGTACTGGCACTGGCGGACCGGGTTATCGATTTGCTGACGAGTTTGTCGCCGAACTGCGTCATGATGCACCCGGCAAGTTTTCCATGGCCAATGCAGGACCGGGCACCAACGGCTCGCAATTCTTTATCACCCACGTCGCCACACCCTGGCTGGACGATGCACATACAATTTTTGGCGCGGTTCAAAGCGATGCCGATCAGGATGTGGTTAACGCCATCGCCCAGGGTGACAAAATCGTATCTGTAACCATCGAAGGTGAAACAGAAGCTCTGCTTGCTGATGAGCCTCTGGTTGCGCAATGGAATGCAAAACTCGATGGCTGATACCGGCGTGGCGCTGAGTAAGCCTGCAATAGACTTAGGCATAGTTGCCCGAGACGGGCAGGCTATGCTGACGTTCTATAGAGACGTATTGGGGTTTGTCGAGGAAGCCAGCACACCATTCCATGCAGGTGGGGTGATGTATCGCCTCTGGTGCGGGGACAGCCTGATTAAAATTGTTGTACCCGAAAATCCACCTCAGAGCCGTGCGCAACCCGGACCCATTGAATCAGCGTCAGGCATCCGTTACTGGACTATGCGGGTTTCCAACCTCGAAGAGATGATGTCCACATGTGCTAACGCCGGAGCGGCGGTTGTTGTGCCGGTCACCGAAGTTCGCGCAGGTGTGACAATTGGTATGGTGGAAGATCCCGATGGTAACTGGGTAGAGTTCGTCACATACGCCGAATGAAACGTCTGCCAACCGTGTTGTTGTGTGTCTGTCTGGTCGCTTGTTCTGCGCAATCGGATGAGTCTCTCATCATGCTGCCAGACTGCAACAAACTGCGTGCCAGCGGCGATTTTGAAATCACTATTTTAAGCGACGACGTAAATACCCTGCATTTGGTGGGCAACGGTGTTGATCAGTTTGAGTGGTTACATGATGGGACAACTTTGTCGCTCAGTACTAACGGTCCTAATCAGCTGCGAGCCAGCCTCAGTTGCGTGAAGCTCGCTGAAATTGAACTGCTGGGCTCTGTGCAGGCTCAACAAAGCCCGGATGGTTTTGCCCGGTACGACAAAGTTGCCGTGTATGGAAGCAGTAGTTTTGCCGCAGTTGAATTGAACGCAGATCTGCTCGACCTGCGCACGTCTGGCCACGGCGCCTTGAGGCTCGATCAGATTGTTGCTGACCAGGTCCAGGTACTCGCATCCGGCCAAAGCCAGCAATATCTGGCCGGAGAAACCCAGCGTCTGCAGGCCACTTTAACCGGCAATGCAAAGCTGTCCTCCGCAACACTGTCTGCCCAGCGTATTGCGCTGACTGCCAGTGGTGATACCGTTGCGGAGGTGTTTCCAACCGCACACATTGGCGGCACGCTCAGTGGTCGAAGTGCACTCGGGTATGTGTCGAATCCAGTATTGGAAGTTGCTCTGGAAATACAAGATGCAGCCGTCGCCTATCGGCGCGAATAAATTTCATCTATCAGTCATCGCAAGGGGAAAGTTGTGGCGCAGGATTATCTGTTTGAAGACTTGAAGGTACTCGATGTGGGCAGTTGGATTGCCGCGCCGGTTGCAGCCACCATGCTTGCAGACTTTGGTGCGGAAGTTGTCAAAGTAGAGCTGCCGGGTGTCGGTGATGGCTATCGCCAATTTTCTGCAACCCCGGGTGCGCCGGACAGTTCGCATAATTTCGCCTGGCAGATGGATGCACGCAACAAGCGCTCTGTGGCACTGAATTTGAAGACCGAAGCCGGGCGTGAAATCCTTTTCAAGCTCATCGACGAAGCCGATGTGTATGTCACCAATCATTCCCCGGGTATGCGTGAGAAGCTGGGCCTGTCTTATGAGCACCTTAAGGCGCGTAATCCAGCGCTGATTTACGCCTCGCTGACCGCCTACGGTGAACAGGGTCCTGAACGGGATCGAGAGGGTTTCGATCTTGTTGCCTACTGGTCTCGCTCTGGTCTGATGGACCTGGTGCACGCACCAGGAGCAGACCCGTCGCCGGCATTACCCGGCATGGGCGACCACCCCACAGCGGTCAGCATGTATGCTGGTATCCTAACCGCTCTGATACGTCGCATGAAAACCGGCGAAGGCAGTTTTGTTCATACCTCACTTCTGGCTAATGGTATCTGGTCAGCGTCCTGTATCGCTCAGGGTGCATTTGTCGGCGCAGATTTCAGCCGTTATCGAGCCATGTTAGGTCATCTGTATACCCGTGTGATGTACGAAACCCTCGACGGGCGCTGGTTACAATTCACAATGGTACGCAGTGCAGATGAAACAGACGCGATGTTTACTGTCATGGGTATGCCGGAAGTGCTTATCGAGGAAAGATTTGCTGACCCGGCCAGTCGCGTCGCCCACGGTGCAGAACTGGTTGCAATGATCAAACCCGTTATCAGAACTCGCAACAGCGCTGAATGGCTGGAAGAGTTTCACGCCGCTGGTGTCCCGGTTGCTCTGGTCGGTGAGGTAGAGCGCCTGCCAGGAGATCAGCAGGTGCTGCTAAATCCAATGCTGATGGACGGCGGCGACACTGGCCTGGATCAGGTGATAAAACATCCAGTAAATGTTGATGGCCTGAACACTAAACCAGCCAGTCGAGCGCCAGATTTAGGTGAACATAGCGAACAGATTCTGCTGCAGCTTGGCTATACGATCGAGCAGATTGAAAGTTTTCGTGAAACCGGCGTTATCTAGCGCTAAGTCGGCCCTAACCTGACAGGTGCTGTAAGGGCAGGGCAGTGGAAGATTTGATCCTCTCCATGGCAAAGGACGAGGAAACGTCATGCAGTGGCGCCACTGAGATGAGCTTTTTGTAAACTCGATCATAGTCGTCGATGTCCCGCGCAACTATTTTCAACAGGTAATCGGTTTCGCCACTCATGCGATAAAACTCAATCACCTCGGGAATGTTTTTCACCCCGTCCGAAAATTTCTCCAGCCAGCTATCGTTGTGTTCACTTGTTTTAATGGCTACAAACACGGTCAGGCGTAACCCCAGCGCACGTTCGTCCAGCAGCGCAACGCGTCCTCGAATTACACCCAGTTCCTCCAGGCGTTTAATACGCCGCCAGCAGGCATTTGTGGATAAGCCGATTTGTTCTGCCAGTTCGGAGATCGCAATATCCGCATTGGATTGCAGCTGCTGCAGGATGCGATGGTCGAAGCGGTCGATTTTCATGAGAAAATATCTTTAAATATGACAAGAATATCGAAATATTTTAGCTCTTCTCCGCATTTGGGTGAAGAAGTGGTGAAATATTTTGCCCAGATCAACGCAAAATTCAGACATGAGTATTACAGTA